CACTGGAGCTTTCCACAGGAGAAGGGTCACCTGTTGCCAGTACTTAGTGTCAGGGTTTAAAGGAATGGCACCTGGGAGATATCAGGAAATATGGTCTCATGACATACCTTTACTCGACGCTGGGCTGATGCGCTGGGAGTCGTAGACCCGAGGGACTTCCTTCCCCTTAAGTGACCCTGGATGTACATATGTCATGTCTGGCGCGGTGTACACCATTTCACGACTGTCACGAAGTACGCCTGGAAATGGGGATATGCCGGCGTAACTGTATGGTCTGGGCATCCGAATCGTAGCGGCGACACCTTCTCCAGGATAAGACACACGGGAAAGGCTGCTTCCAACCCGAGGTACACCAGGCATACTCATATGGTGACCGCTAGCGGCCATGGCACTCCGTCTGCGATTCTGTTCAATGATTCGAGAACGATCCGCCTCTCTCCAGCTCGGCGGCGCGCTGGCAAATGCATCGGTTGCCGCATGAGTAGGAACATGTTTATATGGAACTTGATCTGATTCCTTTTTCTTCTGCTCGACCAGCTTGGCATTATGCTCTTTGGCCTGCTGGCGGCTTTTCTTAATGTGAGCGAAGATGGACATGTCGGTGAAAGTATTATCGAAGCGAAGCCCGGTAATCGTTTCAGCAGAGTCGTTCCAATAGTTTAACACGGCAAAGGTATACAAAAGATGATAACCCAGAGGCTACCTCGACCCAGTCAAATGCCGCGTAGGCAAGAACAGGGGGGACAAACAAAAAACGCTGAGAAACGTTAGGAGGCAAGCGGTCGTGCCACAGCGCTGGGCTTGACAACGGGACCAACGGTATAAATCTAGAGCCGTGTTGGCCCTAGCAGGAACCCCCGGCCCGTCAGAGTATACCTGGCGCCACAGGGGTTCACGAAAGGAGTATCAGCGCTGAGCGAGGATAATAATGTCTTAATATCGTGCCCTAGGATTAGCAAAAAGCAAAGGGTTCGCGTATTCTAATAAGTTTTTGGGTGGGCTGCGACACCTTTTAGGTGACGGATTTCCTGGACGATTCGGATTCCTCGACTAGTGCAAGTGGACCGGGTACGAGGGACGACAGGGCGGGCTTCACGAGTGAGACGAGGGTGGAGCAAGCCACCTCCCGTCCGACGCCTTGCTCCCGCCAAAATGCCCAGATGGGCTCAATGGTGTGCACGAGTCCACTCAGCTATCCTCCCAGGAGCCCTACAGACGTCAAGTCCAGCTGCAGGGGTCTGTTTGGATCCGTGTCGGTGTCGCCTGGCTGCTCGTCTTTATACCGTCAGTCGATTCCCTCCGTGGTCGTGGCTTGGATGCGCAAGTGCACAGTGAGGAGTTTCAAGTAATAGAATCGAAAACACCTGGCTGTGACTTGACTCAAGTCGGACGACGCCAGCCCGCAAACCGAGCAAGCAGAATGCGAGACGTGAGACGAGTGTCAGGCCCGACTTTGATGACGTGTGGTCTGGGTCTTATGGTGCCGTTGCTGGTTCTAGAATGGTCAGGCAAGAGAAAAAGAAGGTCGTAGTACAGCAGAACGAGGTGAGCTGGAGGCTAGCTGGACTAATACCCAGCATGCAATCATGCAATCATGCAAGGCTAGAGGTTTTCTGCAGCTCTACCCACGTCAAGAGAATGGACCAGATGACAGACGTGGTTGGAGATTGGATTGAGTGGCCAAATAGTTTGGACGGACGCAAACGTCAGCCTTCGCCTCCAAGTCGCTTAGGCCAAGATTGGAGGGGTTGGTGGTTGCTGGTGGCAATCAACTGACAATTCGTGGTGATCCCCCGCAGTTGTCAAGGAATGGCTCTGAACAAGGGCCAGGCCACGCCAAGCCAGGAAGAATAAAAACAAAGCAGGCAAACGGGTTGGAAGAAGGCGAAAGGGAGATGGCCTGGAGACAAAGATGTGAAGGATCAGATTAACGAGAACAAGTCGACACAGGCAGGGACAAGGCAGGGACGTGATACGAGCTCAAGGGGCCAAACCGGGTACTGTCATTTGCTCGGGGGGAAGGAGTGTCCCACGCAAGGCTTCTCCTGCCAGTCTACGGAGTATCATTGAGGGTCTGGTACAGAGTACACCAGACACCTGGTCCTTCCCCGTACATACACGAGGTGGCATGAATTTTGGCCCCCTCAATGGTAATGTGCGACGAACATCGCAAACAGTCATCAAGGGACTGGCATTCTCGCCATGTTTCACGACACTGCTAAAGCTTTTCCATGTACCGAATACTTTGTCGGCGCATTTTTGACGTCGGCTCCCGCTGCCAGTTTGAAGTATTAGCCTTCAACAGAGCAAAGGCGGACGACTCCACGATGTTCATGCTACGGCCTGATCGCGCATGACAAACCATCCATTGGCTAGCTACTCTCAGGCGCAATTCCCCCTTCTCTTAGCTTGTTCTGACTCCTCTGAATTCTATCGCTGTAATGCGTTCTATTTCTCTACACCGCCGTCTCTGGATCTCCCTTATGTGACTCTCTACTCGGTATGTCACGCAGACTATATTACTTCTTTCCCGCTAACATCCACACGGCCTCCAGCTTACCATGCAGATCGAAGTCCCAGAGCTAACTTGGATGGCAGCCAGTTGGCGGTAACCGACGAAAAGTCGACGACCTAGGATCTGGGATGCAGATCATCCTAGCCAATCGAAGCATCACGACCATCTCTGCCAACAACAAGAAGCTGTGTGTCACCGTGCTGAAGACACAACCATATACAGGAATTGCGAAAGCTAGATTTCGCTGCGGCCCGAACGGAACCGCCTCTAGAGTCTACCCTAAGCATGTGCCTGGTCCCCACAACCATCATAAACTATCGGGTGCCCGCTCAGCTCTCGAAGAAGCCACAGAATGAGATTATTGGTAGCAGCTGCCGCACGCCACGACTGTTGGAGTTCCACAGGGGGCCGAATCTCACGGATGGAGCACAGGCGTTGACAACAACAAAGTGGAGGTTGGCCCTGAAGTTCTCGGTAGCTCCGTTTTTAGAGTCAGCCACCGGGAGGGAAATCTTTCAACAATCACGGACAAATGTGGGTTTCGTGTTCATGGCGATGAGTTCATCAAACCTAAATTCTCAGTATTGTAGATTCGTATCATGTTGCTAATATACATTTCTTGTCCCATCGGCGAACGAAAAGCAACCCCGAATGAGTCTTGTGGACTTGATGATTAGCACACGGTGCCTAGATCTAACTTTGTCTCCGTCGAAATCAGCTAGGAGCAACTCCGACGATCGGGACTGACCGAGCGCCGGGGTCAACAGCCCTGCGCTGTGCCTAGGAGTGGCCTCGTATTTGCGTCCCAACAAGGTGCGGTTTTCTGTCTATTGCTGGTGCCTGGTGCCCGATTAATTGAGCTTTGGCTGGCTGTGGCCGTCATTCTGGGCGTTGAACAAAAGAGCGCATACACGTTCCTCTTATTGAACAGACGAGACGCGTTCGACAGCGGAATGGCACAGAACAGTTGCCTACGGCCTCGTCATGAATATTATTGTACCCACCACGGAGTACGGGAAGAATCAGCACAAAGGCGGCGCCATTTCCTTGGGCTTGGTTCCCTCGTTTTCCTCAGCGAGGGTCAACATCTGCATGTCAGATGACAAACTCGCACCCCACGTCCTGGCCGCCAGCGGCTGAGATATCAGGCATGGTTTTCAGTCCAAGAACCCCCATGACTTGATAAGTTACCTAGGTTCTGGGTAGATCAATCTGTCACGCCAACGTTCCTATTTTTGATGTCGTTTATGGGGATGGTGATTTGCCCTAGTGGCCTGGGATCCGTTGTTTTACGCCGCTGGCTCCGGTGTATCAAGTGTGACATGGAGGGTCCACCAGGCACGAAGGATCCAGACACCCACAGCCGGACACAGCAAGTATAATAAATAAATAATGCAGAAAACCTAACAGGCTGAGCAAAGCCGATAATTGGCTTGTTAGCGTGGACCCCTGTGAGGGACGACAGAAGGGGTTTACAAGTAAAGTTATGAGAGCTTAAGTATATAAATAATAAGTATATATTATAATAAAACTAATAAAAAGAGACTCTTTTATATATATGTAAAAAAAAAAGTAATTAAAAAAGGAGAGGCGCGCCGAAGAAGCAGACCGAGCAAAGCTTGAAGCTAAGAAAGCTAAAGCATTGGCGGAAAAACATAAAGAGGCTGGGAGTTGGAAAGAAATCAGGTATGGATAATTACGTCAACAAGGCAAGCAGAGGCACGGGCAAAAAAGGCAGAAGCAGACCTGACATTAGCAATTAAGAGTAAAAAAGAGGCCAAACAGCAGCTTAACACGGCAGCTCCGGTGCGCCATACAACTAAACCAGCTATCTCGCTCAAGCGACAAAAAAAAGGGGCCTTCTGGTCTCTAAATAAAAAACCACGCCTATCAAAATCAGCTGCACACAACAGGACAGGGCTCTAAAACCCGGAGATAAAGTGGCATGATAAGCAACTATAATATTTGGCGCATAATCTCGACTAAGTAGTCAACAACTAGGGAGCAGAAGAAGTAAGATATACTTGTTTCACGTTTTAGTACTGACTTAGTCCAGGTTAACGGAGTGGAGAAAAATTATAAGATTACCGAATCTGACGAATTTAAAGAGGAGTAACTCTAAGCTACCGGGCAGACGTGATAAATCTCGTATAAGAAACTGTAGTACAACAAGACGGAAGCAACAGAGAGCAGGAACAGGGGATAATAACGCAAGTGCTATGATGAGCTAGAGTTCTATACAAAGCATTGCATGTATTTAAGTAGATAGTAGCTCTATTAAAAGGATCGCCACCGGGCACGACAATTTTACGGTAGTGTGTGTACTGCTAAACGAGTGTGTTATTCATCATCCATCTGTAAGGACTGACTAGGTTAAACTACGATATGGATAGAAATAGTGTAGAACTGCGAAACGAGCGGTTTTCTACAAACTAGCGCTAGATGCTCCCGATGCCGTCTTTGCTCTGGTGGTCATGCGTACGATTTAGAGGTCGTCTCCGAGAGGGATTCTGAGGCGAACAAACTTCAAAAGACCGTATTCTTTCCCAAGGCCGCCCTTCTCGAAAGCCTTTTGCTCCTCCACTTCCTCAACAAGCTTGACCTTGTGTGAAGTGGCCTCGGTGCGAGGCGGGAGCAGTTCCTGCTCCGTCTTGACTACTGCAGTGGAGATGAGCAGCTTGCCAGAAGCGTCAATGGCTTCTGCCGACACGGAAGTGAGTTTCTGGTTGGGAACAAGGAGCTTCGTCTCAAAGCTCCTGCGCTCGACTTCACCCAAGAAGCGGCGGGATCCAAACTCATCCGTCTCAGCGTAGAACCGCCAAACAGCAGTCTCGGTGTCGCCGTTCCAGGAGACGTAGACGGCGGTGCCGTGGTTGCTCTCAAGCGCAACAATGGCAGGGTCCTCGCTGGGCAGACCGGTCCAGTTGTAGCGGAAGGCGCGGTAGTTTTGAACGCCGTCGCCGAGAGGACCAGAGTCCATGTACGCGTGGAAGATGGGCGTTCCGTCGCTGGTGAACTCGGTAACGGCGCCCTCGGAGCCCCAGCCGACGAGCACGTTGCCGCCGGGCAAGACTTGAGTGCTGCCCTGGGACTTGGACAACAGATGGTCAGGTGGGAAGTAAGCGCGGACGAGGTCGGCGGTCCAGGACTTGGTGTTGAGTTTCAAGATCTTTGCGCTGCTGGTCGGCGCGGTGTGGACCTCTGATCCGCCGCTGTGCTCGGTGCCGTGGGCGCTGTTGTCGTACAGGCTGATGGTTTCGATGCCGTCTTCCTGGCTGAGCCAGCGGGCGTGGTGCTGGAAGCAGAACTTGGTGCCCTTGGCCATTTTGAAGTCGCTTCTGTTGCCGTTGAGGCGCCAGATGATGGAGCCATCTGTGCCGTTGATCTTGTGAAGGGCACAGGCGTCACGGGCGGAGATGAGGTAGTTGCCCTCAGCGTCCTTGTCGACGCTGTTGATGTGGAAGTAGTCCCATGCGTCTGAGGAGTTGTAACCTGAGCCGGCTTGGCCTGGGTTGATTGGGAGAATGGCCTCTGTTTGGGAGTTAGATGTGGAACGCTTGGTCAATTGATGTCTCGTCACTCACCGTCGGGAGTTACATGATCCAGGCTGGACCACTCAAACAGCAGCTTTCCAGTAGAAATGTCAAGCTCTAGAGTCCAGACAAAGGTCAATTAGCCCTGCACTGTGTCGGTTTACGTTTGAAGCACCACGAAGCCAAGCCCTGACGAACCTTGAATGATGGCATTCACAATCCATTGCTGCTCTGGGCTGGCGCCCCATTTTGTCAAGTCTCGCGGCACAGGTTGATAGATCTGGATCAGGCCCGTTTCCTCATTCACGATATGGAACTCGTGTTTGTCAACCAGCTTGTGATTCCCCGCGCGAAGCTCGCGAATGGTCTCATACCGCTGGTCAACAAACGTAATGTGGCCATGGCCGTGCCCATATCCGGCGTTGTGGTCGCCTTCAAAGCTGAACAAGACGTCCTTGCCCTTCCAACGACCAGCCTGGAAGTTGGTAGACCAGATGCTGAAAATAGAGTATCCAGACCACACCAGGTCACCATTGTCCCTGAAGATGTACGGCCCAGCCTGGCGGGGACCATGCTGCTCCGTCGGCGTATCGGGGAAGCCAGCAAACGGCGCGAGGAACAGGTAGCCCTTGTCAACGGCATTTGTAGCCGGAATGGTGATGTTCAGACGAGGCGGCGCCAGGTCCGGCCGAGATCTAAACTGCCAGTCTGCCGCAACGGGCGCCAACAGTGCTGCCGTGACGAGGCCAAGAGGAGAGCCAGCTTTCATGGTGGTTGCTGGTTTTTGGGTCGGTTGCTAATCATGTCAGATGCCTGGCATCTCATTTCCTTGCTGAAGAATAGGTACATTCACCTTGATTCAGTACACGAGCCCTAAAGTCAACAGACTTGTTCTTTCCTTGTAAAACGTTCACTTCACTTTTGGATTTCTTTGGAGTTGTCGAGACTTTGCGTCACAGTTGTCGGTGCGTTGTTAAGGAACCAGACTGATTGACGGCTAATTTAGCCTTATATTGCGTAGATTCCATGTGCTTCAATCACGCAATGGCGACGAGGCATTAAGCAACCGGTTTGACAGCAGGGCGACAAATTGGCCGTTGTCGGGGTCGTGATTCCTGCACATGAAGGCCGATCGATGACCCGGACTCATATGTGCGAAGAATTGCGTGCTCATTCATCTGTGGGCGCCAGTGGCGGATTGGTGCAGCCTCAATGGTGACGGAAACAAGGGCTAATTCAGTTCCACCAGGAGTTTGTTCGTTGTAATGGAACCGGAATAATACAGTATGCATATTTTGCAGAACGAATGCTTAATCATTGTAGATTGAACGCGTCTTGAGTTTGTGACGACATCTGGTGTTTCGGGCCCCGCCAACTTGTGATGCCAGTCAATACTCAAGAGGGAACGGCGTGGGTTCACGTCTGGTCAAGTTCAAATCCAAATTCACATTCATGGATTGATTGACTGGTTCCACACACATCCGATGTAGCTGCAGATTTCTGCATCACGCCATTCTGATAGTCTGTTCAATCTTCTCCTCCTACACCAGTCAGTTGAAGAATTTCCTCTTCGCCTCGGGTATCGCTGGGCCATCCATCGCCAGACCAGACAATCACTTGACTTTATTCGCACAACATCACCACGTTCACGTTCAACAAATTCACACGGCAACTCATTTCTGTACCGTGCACACATTGAAATGACCCCAACAAGAGAGGACCAAGAAAACGGCATTCTCTGCCAGAATCCCCCCGACGAACCCCCCATTGAACCGCGCGAGGACCAAGCACTCTTACAACAACCCGCAATCGCAGAATGGAAACCCCCCCGAGGCTTCGTCTGGATTCAAATCGCCCTCATGAACAATGTATTCCTCAATGCATTCGACGGCACCATCATGGCAGCAACCTACGCCGTCATCAGCTCTGAATTCGATGCCACAAACAGCGCATCGTGGCTCACCACCGCGTACCTCATCGCCTCCACGGCCGTTCAGCCTCTATACGGCCGCACTTCAGACGTTTTCGGCCGGCGAGCATGTTTTTTCGCGTCGACAATCCTCTTTGCCGTGGGGAGTCTGGGCTGCGGACTCTCAGGCAGCATGGTGACGCTCATCCTCATGCGTGCTCTGACTGGAGTCGGCGGAGGCGGTCTGCACATCATGGCGACGATTGTCAATTCCGACCTCATTCCCTTCCGGAGACGCGGCATATACCAAGCCATGCAGAATGGTGTCTTTGGCCTTGGCGCCATCTGTGGAGCTTCGCTCGGTGGCAACATTGCCGACAGAATTGGCTGGAGATGGTGTTTTCTGCTCCAGGTGCCCGTGTCGGTCTTTGCCTTGATCGTGGGTAGTCTTGTTGTTAGGGATCAATCTTCTAGCATGCTGTTGTCTCTGGATGAGGGATTGCAAGTCATGTGGAAGAGGATTGACTTTTCTGGTGCTCTTCTCCTTGTTGTGGCTGTTTCTATACAGTTGCTTGGTCTTGGCTTGGGAGGGAACTTGCTACCCTGGGGGAGTCCGTGGGTTATTAGTTCTCTAGTTGGGAGTTTGGTGCTCTTTGCGGTGTTTGTGGTGGTTGAAGGAAAGACTTGTGCTATTCCAATGATACCACTTCGGATGCTGAAGGGTCGGTTGCCTGTTGCGACGCAAATATCCAACGCTTGTGCGGGATGCGCCGCGTACGGGGTATGAAGATGCTCACATTTCGTTTGCTTGCAGTTTTACTAACCTGTGGACAGTTTCTATTCATGCTGCCGCTCTTCTTCCAGGTAGTTCTGCTAGAGTCAGCTTCTAAAGCCGGTGCTCGTCTGGTCATTCCGTCGCTGGCAACGCCAATTGGCTCTGTGATGGCAGGAATTGTCATGTCCAGATACGGTAAACTCATAGCAATGATGCGTATAGGGTCTATTCTTATGGCCATGGGAAATGCTCTTGTATTCTCTCTACGATTCGTTGACTCGAGTTGGAAATATTTTGCGTACATATTCCCTGCCAACCTGGGCCAAGGCGTTGTGTATCCGTCCATTCTGTTCACGTCACTAGCTTCATTTGAGCATCAAGGTACATCTACGTTTTGCAGAACAATCTACTTGCTCTCTCTTTTACTCATCATCACTTCAGATCACGCGGTTTCGACATCCACAGTCTACTTGATTCGCTCGCTCGGTGGCGTTTGGGGAGTATCTATTACTTCCGCTATTGTGCAAACTTCGCTCAGCCTCCGTCTTCCGGATGCTTTGGGCGGGATACCAGATAAATGGAGAGTACGCCCCGTTTTTTAAACGTCTTGATTCCTTCCGTCTCTGTGTATGAGTGTAACCAGGCTGACTTGACACGTGTGTGAACCAGATTATAGATCAGATCAGGCATTCGGCTTCTAGTATACACAACCTGCCACCGGAAATTCAAATGAAGGTTCGGCTCGTATACTATGATGGCATCCGCCACGCCTTTGCTGCGTGTACGGTAATATCACTTATTGGCGTGGCGGCAGCTTTTGCAGCTACAGCTTCTAAGCTGCGAAGCACGCATTAACATGGTAAGCACGGGCAGATCAAGCCGAGACCGTCCAGGTGTTGGCAAAAGGTGGAGGAGTTGAGTGTATTCAGTTGGATATAAACGGCACGCCACTCGACTAACCGTACCACGCACCACAGCATATAGTTATACACAGTCATGTTAGTTTGTACAGTACTGTGGAACAGTGTATCTGTGTATTTTGCGGCCTACAAGCATACAATGTCATGTCAAGTATTAGTGATACTGGGTATGGGCAAACGTAGAATGTTGATTGTAATTGACACAACCGGCTTATCGGGATAAACAGCGAGTATCTTCTGGCACATGCAATGCTGTTCCCCCCTACTCTTTTCCTCATTGGCTACAGAGCTGGACAATATCAAATATTCACCTCCGCAATCGGCAATTGCGACTTTTGTTTCTCTGTGTGTGTGTGGAAACCGCTCGCCATCGTGGTTGGCGATGACGAGCTTTCGGCTGCGATTGTACAACAGTTGACCCCTGGACCCGGTCGTCTCTCACCCGCCCATTGCGAAGCTGCGGTGTATGATGACGAATTGCAATATTCTACACTATTGACGTATGCATGAAAGCAATCAACTTGGACAGTCGAGTATCAGCATGTAAAGCACAGGGTATGTATGCATAGAGGTTGATCCCCAATCTGCAGTACCTGATATACATTCGCAGCCGCTGCTTGGTGTGATTCTCGCAACAGCAACCAAGAAGCACCATTCTTGTTTATCAAAATAGTCCAGTAACATTTTACAAGGCCCAAAATGAAGAACCACGTCCAACCCAAGACCCTTCAGGCTGATTCCTCGGCAACGACAAGCTCCGCACCCAGCGAGGTTGCAGAATCCAACTTTGACCACCTCCCACCGTCCACCGGCCATCAGTACGGCTCCGTAGAACCACACGTATTCACGAGCCCTGCCCGCGCCGAATACTGGAGGAGTATCTACGAGAATGCAAAGTACGAGTGCAGACACCGGTTCGATCCATCGTTCCAGTGGTCTCCTCAGGGTGAAGTTATCGTCAAAAGGAAAGTAATTCAACTTGACTTTACTTGACTCCACACTCCCAAGATGAGTACCTATTTGAAATTCTTCTTCTCTGGTGCTGACTTTTCTACTCTTTTCCCACAGCTCGATTGGCGCATCATGCTATGGGTCTGGGTCATGTTTTCTTCGCTCGACCTTGTCCGTAGGAATATCAACCGCGCCGTGTCGGATTCCCTGCTTGCAGACCTCAAGGTCAATACCAATGACTACAACACCGGCCAGACCATCTATCTAGTGTGCTTTCTTGCGGCCGAACTTCCAGGCGGGTTGATCAGCAAGAGAGTCGGTCCGTTTCGGTATACGCCCACGGTCATTATTCTGTGGGGAGGTCTTTGCATGGTTCAGGCGGCGATGCGTGCTCGTTGGAGTTTTTGGCTGCTGCGAGGATTGCTGGGCTTTGCGCAGGGTGGCTTCATTCCTGAGATGGTGTGTCCCGTGCGATTATACTTGATCATGGTTCGTGATGAAACAACGTTTCACTCATACGGGTGCTAGGTCCTTTACCTCTCGTACTTTTACAAGAGCAACGAACTGCCGTTTCGTCTTAGCCTCTTCTACACCGTTATCCCGTTGACGCAGATTTACGGCAGTCTTTTGGCAGGCGGTCTACTGGAGATGCGCCGTCTTCAGGGGCTGGCTGGCTGGCGGTGGTTGTAGGTGCAGCATCAAGGCATTGACAGTTTTTTTTTTTTTTTTGCATTCACTCACGTCTGGTAATCTAGGTTTCTTGTTGAGGGGCTCATCTGCGTCGTCATCGGCTTCATCTCTTACTTTGTCATGGCGCCCTCAATCACCGAGCCTGCTTTTGCGTTTAAGCGGCCTGATGGCACCAACAAGTGGTGGACTGAAGAGGAAGAAAAGATTCTGGTCAATCGTCTTTTGCGCGATGACCCAACAAAGGGCGACATGAATAACAGAACTGCAGTGTCAGCCAGAGGCATGTGGGAGGCTCTCACTACGTATGATCTGTGGCCACTCTTCATTGTAGGTGATACCAGACATGTCCCGGTTTTCTGCAAGATAACATGACTAAATGATGTGTAGCTGGGGATTTTCGTCTGGATCCCCTTCCAGCCCACTGCGAATTATCTTTCCTTGACACTGCGTAATCTTGGATACACAGTGTTTCAGTCAAACCTGCTCGCCATCCCTGGATATGCCCTGTTTGCAATCAATGTAGGCTGCCGACAACGCACAAAGGCCAAAAGTATCTGCTGACCAGAAACAGACCGTCGTACTGGGTTGGTTGTCGGAGAGATTCAACGAGCGACTTGTAATCGCGGCCGGAAGCAACATTTGGGTGCTCCCCTTCTTCATCGGCCTCATCTGCATCAAGCCAGATGCCAACCCGTGGGTTCGCTACACCCTTCTTACCGGAATCAATGGCATCCCATACACCCACTCCATTATCGTCGGCTTGGTGAGCCGCAATGCAAAGGCAGTTGGTCGTCGGGCAGTTGCTGCTGCTGTGTACAACATGACGTATCAAATTGGAAGTATCGCAGCAGTGAATATTTATCGTGACGAGGACAAGCCGTACTGTAAGTGGAACGTATTTCTTCGAGGAAAGGAGGTGCTAATTACCTTTCAGACTACAAAGCCAATAAGGGTCTCGTGGGATTGTGTGTCTTTAATATCCTGCTGTTTGTCCTGGCGAAGCTGTACTACGTGTGGCGGAACCGCGTGATTGAGAGGCAGCATGCTGAAACGCCCGCAAGCGAAAAGTCTCGGATGGCTGATGCGCGATTTGCTCACTAAGTATGGGTGAAGATGGACCCCTGGGTATATTTCGCACTTCCAGGTGTTTATTGTACCCGTGGCTTGCTATTCCGATGAGTTCAATGTTGCTACGACTAAGCAGACGGTTGGCGGAGGGTGGGTGGTAGTTGAATCAAGTCATTGAGATTAAATAGTAGGTAGCCAGTAAATTGTGTAAACTGTGTTTGTTGACTCAATCTCAAGTTTAATATCCAGGCATCCACAATACTGAATCGTGCATCAAGATTCAAGGCTATGTCGAAGGATCGGTTTCGTGAAGAAGGGTTCAGAGATTCCTCTTGGCAATAGAAGTTTGGAAACCCAATATGCCTAATGTATTCACTCCCGGTATCCCTATACTAAACAGGCTCAGTACGTGCATCCAAAACTAGTCTTAAGTGCCTACGTAGGTGGTTCTCGGATGTACTACGAGATGCGTACAAGGGATGGCATTTGAATAAACCTTTCACCACGCTCACAGGCTTGCTTGTCACACTCATATATGATGAGCTCAAAAGCGATAACCATCAGTTGCAAAAGGTCCCTGCAGGACATGATTCGTAACACCCAGTGTAGTGTGACAGCATGAAGGACATGACTTGTTGTTAGAAAGACACAATTCCCTCGGAGAACTGCAGGCATGGCCGCAACTTGCACGGAAAGGTTTGGGCACACATTCTGCTGCAACTTTGATCGGTCAGAGATAACATTTGGAGTATTGAAACCCCGCTTAGACGACCTCCGATCCGTATGGACACTTGCCGCCAAAGACCCGGAGACTCCGATTTGGTCCCGTCGACCGCCAGCAATCATCTACACCAACAAACACCCATAGTTGACGATGCTCATAAGCAATACTGCAGTTAATGCCAGCTACCTACCCAAGGTGCTCCGCATTCGTTTCGCCTATTACCGAGCAACAAATTACGTGCGTTGAATGGATTGCCGGCCCATGTCCTGGAATATCGCCGATCGGAGACAAATGTGGGGCCGCATCGCGGGGGCGGGCATTGCGGACACAACCCCGAACTCTGGGAATCATGACGGAATCAACTCGAGGGAGTGTCTAAAGCCAAATACCAGGCCTGGGACCGAATCATTCCTGCTCACCGATACTTTTTAAGCCTGCTGCTGTCAACCCAGATCCAGTCATTATGCGTGTCCTTGTAACTGGTGCTGCCGGCTTCATCGGCCAGCTCGTCGCCAAGGCCCTTCTCAATGACGACAAGGGCACTTACACGGTCATTCTGACGGATGTCGTGGAGCCCCCGGTCCCCAAGGGAGTCAGGTTTCCGGATAATGCAAAGTGTATCAAAGTGGACTTGCTTACCGGCTCTTCCAGCGTTGTGGATGATGATTTGGATGCTGTCTACGTCCTTCATGGCATCATGTCGGCTGGTGCCGAGGCGGACTTTGAGCTAGGTAAATCTTAGACTTGCCGAGTGCAGAAAAAACTTGGTCTTGCATACTGACCTGCAAGGCATGAGGGTCAACTTCGACGCAACCCGCGCCCTCCTCGACGCCCTCCGCCAGACCTGTCCCGGCGTGCGAACAATCTTCACATCCAGCCAGGCCGTGTACGGCGGCGAGTTTGCCGAGCCGGTAGATGAATCCGTGCACCCTACGCCGCAATCTTCCTACGGCGCGGAGAAAATGATGTGCGAATACCTCATCAACGAATACACCCGCCTGGGCTTCATAAACGGCCTTGTTCTCCGGCTTCCCACCATCTCGGTGAGACCGGGCAAACCTACAGCGGCCGCTTCAAGCTTCTTGTCCGGCATGATTCGCGAGCCGATGCAGGGTCTGCCGTGTACCATTCCCCTAAGGGACCGCGCCTTCAGGCACTGGCTATGTTCGCCAAGAACCCTCGTGGGCAATCTTCTTCATGCGTTGACCCTGCCGAGGGATGCGCTGCCCGTGTATAATCGGGTTTTGAACGCGCCCGGGATGGGTGTTTGTGTGCAGGATATGATGGATTCTTTAGCGAGGGTAGGCGGAGAAGACAAGTTGGAGTTGTTGATGGAGGAGGACGATGACAAGTTGAAGGGGATATTGTACTCGTGGCCGACAAAGTTTGACAACACCAAGGCGTTGGGATTGGGGTTCAAGAGGGATGACTCGTTTGACGATATTGTCATGGACTTTAAACGAGAACTTGAGTCTTTGGGGCCTGCCTAGTTGTCGTTTGCTTAGCCTCAGTAGGCAATAGTATATATGAGACACGATGGCTTCGAGTGCCGTGGGCGGATTACTCGGTATCACGCCGGCCCAAGCTCTTAAAGGAAAAAGTACTGGGCCTTTGCAGCCGATTCCATACAAATCATGTGCCCCTCAATAGCCCTCTGCATCGCTTGTGTGCCCTTGCCGATTAACGTCGTGAGCGGCCCCTTGTCAGCCTTCTCCCTCAATGTCTTCTTCTACTATCTGTTTAGTGCGGCGTCGATATTACACTTTGCCACGCCGCATTCAATACACCTTCTAAACGACTACTCATCAAAGCCATTGACCCCTTGAAGAATCAGCTGCACCGTCTTCTTGGTCGCTTCACGAATCTCTGCCAACCTCTGATAATCCAGCTGACGGACTGACGTTGCGGAGCGGACACAACACCGAAGTGGCTGCGCGATGTCGGCGGCGAGTTTCGCCTTGAACGAATTCATTGGCATTGTTTGTTTTACTTTTTTGGGGAAGTGAAGGGAAGATACTAGATCATTCGGTCTGTATTAGACCGACTTTTTGACGATCTTGCCCCGTATGAGCGCTTAGCCGACGAGTTCCACTGGTCTCTCCCTTTGAGCAAGATGATGGCGCTAGAGAACAAAGTCCTCTGTTTTCCACCGACTATTTGAGCAATGTTTCGACTATAATGGAACATTTTAATGTATAAATGAAGACAACATGACTTATGGTAGGTTTGATATGCTCCAAGACCGTATGGTTCGTCATCTTCAAAGTCTGTATCTACTATCCTACTGTGGGCTTATGATGTGGAATGCTCCGGACCAAACCGCGAGGAGCTTGTATCGCGGCTGGCACCTGCCTCCCATTCCGACGTCTTTTGAGCCAGGCCGGCTTTGAACCCCTTCAGCCCTATTCATTCTGGAACAATGTCCCGGCGGACGGCACGCTTGGTGGTATGCAGGGTGGGGGGAAAAGGGAGACAGGGACGGGGCGAGAATCCCAGACGAACGGTTCACTTGGACCTTTTTTTTATTGTGTACCAAGGCGGAGCTTGTTGATCCCAAGTCCCCTGTTTTGAATCGGCAGTTGGTCGAAGTAGGATGACTTGAGACATACTAATTAGTAGTTTTTTTTTTTGCCGCGACCGTCTTGGAATAAACGTGGTGTCACACAACACGCACCGTATCATGAGTTGACAAGATATATCAGGGTTGTCGAGGTTTTTCTCAAAGACGTCGTTTTCGTGAATACGGCTGTGGAAAAGGTATCATCGCCATGAGAAAAAAAAAGAACGAGACGAGCGAACAATAAATGAGGCGCAAGTTTATCCAATCGGACAATTTTGCTACTCTCACGGAGCGGGTTCCGATGACAGATTGTCGGGTCCGGTAACGTTAGTTTTTAGTCTCGAAATGGCGTTGAATATTGGGACAGGCAACTACTGCCTTGAATGGGTCCGAAGAACTTGGCCTGTAAATATTACAAGTTACCGTGTGTGAGACATAAGGCCGGAAGAAAGGAACTATGTGAAACCATAACGAAGCTTACGCGCGGACGTAGTAACAACATGACAGATCGACATAAAGTCCAGATTTCAGTCAGTCTCGTCAGTCTATTCTATGGATAACTTGAGGGCCTTGTATGACGTTAGACGCAACTTCTCGGCTGCGATAATGTATTCGTCTCAGCAGTTCTCACCAGGGTCTCAGCACTCCACACATCAACTCACTACCCTGTTGTACTGTCCAATCTTACCTTTTACCCTGGCGACACTCATTTCATCAGGGGAAAGTTTTCTTGAAGTAACACAGAGTATACTACATGCGGACGAGAAAATGCCAGACCTTGGATACAGGGCTTGTTGCCATCGGCTGACAGTGACTCGCCAAGGTGTACCAGAAGATCGGCCGAAATCAGCACAACTACGACTACCCCGCCATCTTGCGCGTTGTTTATACGTATAGTCAGGCGGAGTATTGCTTGATTTCAGTTGACAGCGAGCGGGGAAACCGGATGTACGAATCTAAACACTTGCAGGCAGAATTGGAACATGCTCTCTAGATGACCCATACCCGAGACGCTTTTCTCGCATGCCTCATAATGAGTAACACAGTTCGAGTGATGTTGACAGGGGCTCAGACTAATAGTTACGGTACGAGAAAATAAAATTTTCATAGACTGACCAATCGACCAATGTGTCCGGAACTATTTGACGTACGGTTATGCTGATTTAGCCTTGAAACGTCATGCGATCTAGAATCTTGCAACAGGTCATTGCCTTTGCGTGCCATTTTGAGCACCAACTCCAGGCGGTTATCCACGGCTTCGTCTCGTTTTGCAGGTGTCTCTTTTGGAAGTACCAGCTGTCATGATTGGCAGCCGTGGATCGCACGGAATGGGATTGGTCTTTTCATTGCGCAGAAATGTCGTAGCTAGTAGGTTTGCTAGCTAGCTTCTAATTCGAACCTTATATCCTAGTTTGAAACTTCTAGATAAAAAGGCCTGGCTTGTTGAACCTACTAGATAAAGGGCCCGGCTGATGACTCGCTCGTTGACACGGCATCTTTAGCAGCAGTCCGGCTTTTCAGGCTGTTGGATTGAGAGGCAGAAGGAAGAAGAAGTAGTTTCTGCAGGGAATAAAAGGGGGAGACATGTGATTTGGCTGAGATTTGTTGAGCGTAGTCTCACCCTTGAGTCAAGTTGAATGTTGGAAAAAGACCGTCCTGACTTACACGCCATTGGATGGCGATGACGCAGAGACTGATCACGTGACTGCTCCATGTTGAAAAAGTTTTACATCAGCCACACGCCGCACGCCGCCATCCATCCGGCCCTTGGCGCTCTTCAGCTAGTGCTGGCCAGTCATTCGTCTGTAGTCTGCGGGTGCAGGAGCACCTGGTTGGCAACTGGCCCAGGCGCTCGGCTCCTGGGGCCCCCCTGGCCCGTGGCCCCATTGTGAGGCAGGAGCGATAGATGATGGACGATAACGATAAGAGCCCAAGGGACGGCACCGAGGACAAGCACCGAGGACAAGTACTACCGAGGTACACAGCGGACAAGTCTACAGTACGCGGGCTCTACCGGAAACAAACGCTGTTGGTAAAGTACCGACGACTGGGCTGCGCAGTCTTTGTGTCGCGCTGGCTGCCACTGGCCCTTCCTGAGTGGCGTCTCCGGCCTCCGTAGGCGGGCCACGCTGGCCCACGCATCCCCAGCAAGACATTGATCTGAGCCCAGCACAACTTTCAACTGCCCAAGCCCGTCGTCGCCGTGCGGTCACGCGCTTTGCCCACTTGGACATCCAACCCATCGGCTTTGTCCTTTGTCTCTGTCCCTGTCCTTGCACCAAACCCTCACCTCATCGTCATCAGCTCGGAACTCTCCCTCTCCGCAGCCTTGCTGTCGCACGCTGCGCACCTCGCCGTCATCTCGTGCCCTGCGCTGCGGTCCCGTTCGCTCCTGCTGTTGTCGACAGCCCAGCCCGACCCGAGCCCCGACCGGTGGTCGCCTGCGGCGGCATTTGCGTGGCGCAAGCAGGCATCGCAGCCGAATGCTCGCTGGCGGTTAACTCGCCAACCCATCCGACATTCGCAACCTCGCGGCCTCGCCTTCATCAAACCCCTCCCCACGCGGCCGCCCGAGAACATTGGCCATCTCTCATCTCCTTTTTCGACCCGGCGACCCAGCGACCCGGCAGACCGCACCCTCCCCCAACAGCCTGCCCCTCCTCCCGTCGCCGTAGTCGCGTGTGCGTCCTGCTCTCCAGGCGCGCAACAGAACAGAACCGTGGCGGCGCTTACGATCCTGAGCCACGAGACTCCGCTGCCCGAACTCTCCCTCCAGCAGCATCTCGACATTGCCCCGGACTTGGCTGCTACGTATAGGCCGCTCGCCACGGAGGCGGACTCCGAGCCGGTGATGATGGCACAGCAGGTGCCTCATCAGGCGACGGATAAGAAGCGCGTCAAGGTCTACGAATTGCGTGACAATGATTGGTTCGATCGCGGCACAGGCTTTTGCACCGCAGCCTTTGCGACTGTATGTGTTTAAATTTGCGAATCTTGCCAACTGTCGCGACTGCTTGCTTGGTTATCATGAAATTGGGCTGACCATCTCCTCTCACCGCACAGACCGAAGATGGGCAGAAGGATCCACGAGTCATCGTTGAGTCTGAGGACCAGCCAAACCGACTACTCCTAGAGACCAAGATTCAAAAAGAGGATGGATTCCAAAAGCAGCAAGGTTTGTTGTTGAACCGTCAATACGCTCATCGCAGACGTCATGCTAATGGGATTCCCGTCTCGTCAGAAACCCTCATCGTGTGGCAAGAACCCGGAAGTGGAGTGGACATGGCTCTCAGCTTCCAGGAGGCCGAAGGATGTGCTCTGATATGGTTCGAAATAATGCCCTGGACACTTTCCCCCCCATGCTGTTAACTTGATGACTAACTTTGATCAGGCGATTTGTGAGCAATGTGCAGCAAACGTTCCAGAATACAATTGCTGGCGACGACGGGCTTTCAGACGATTTGGCCATCGAGGTCCCCGCGACAATCAGCCTCCCTGCCGCGGAACTGGGCAACCTGCCCGAAATCGAATCCGGCATGCGTTTCATGAGCTCGAGTGCCAACGGTCGCGACGCGCTTGCCAAGTTCATCATGGCGGATGACTACATTGGGAAGTTGATTCCCTTGGTTGAAATGGCTGAGGACCTCGAGAGTCTACCCGACCTCCATCGACTCTGCAACATCATGAAGACAATCATCCTCTTGAACGACACAACCATCATTGAGCACGCTGTATCAGACGAATGTGTCCTTGGTGTAGTCGGTGCCTTGGAATACGACCCTGATTTTCCTAGCCACAAAGCCAATCATCGACACTGGCTTGATAACCAAGGCCGATACAAGGAGGTTGTCCGGATTGAAGACGAGCAGACGCGGCAAAAGATTCATCAGACATACCGGCTTCAGTATCTCAAAGATGTTGTTCTTGCACGGATTCTCGATGACCCAACCTTTTCGGTTCTGAACTCGTTGATTTTCTTTAACCAGGTTGATATCCTCCAACATCTGCAGTCAAATTCCGAATTTTTGAACGAACTTTTCGGTATATTCAATATTCGACGACCTGATCAGAAGAAGAGGAAGGACGCTGTTCTGTTCATCCAACAGTGCTGCGCCATTGCAAAGAATATCCAACCTCCAGCGAGGCAGTCCCTTTATAACAACTTCATTGCTCACGGCCTGCTCCAAGTCATCCACTTCGGGTTGAAACACGGAGACGTTGCAGTTCGAGTCGGCGCCACCGATATCTTGGTCTCCATTATTGACCATGACCCGCAAATGATTCGACAGACAATTTATCGCCAGATGCATGAAAATACACCATCACTGGTTGACTCATTGATTGAACTCCTTCTTGTAGAGGTTGACTTGGGTGTCAAGTCCCAAATCTCAGAGGCTCTCAAGGTCCTCCTAGATCAGGGAATCCCTCCGCCAGGACCAGAGTTCGCCCGTATGAATGGTGAATTTCCTGGCCGGCCCCGGCCTCAACCGGCGGCGGACCCTCAACAGGAACTCTTCCTCACTCGGTTCTATGAACGATCTGTGCTGAAGCTTTTTAAGCCGTTGTTGGAACTCGATAACAAGACGGGTTTGGAATTTTCAGTACAGCAAGCCTCCATGTTCACATATCTCGTCGAAATTTCATGTTTCTTTATCCGTCAGCATCATCGATTCAGCCGATATTTCGTCATGAATCATAACATCATTCAGCGTGTTTCACGGCTTCTCAAAAACCCAGAGAAGTATTTGCGACTAGGTAAGATGCTTGATGTCGATCGGGTAATTTGGCGACATAGAATGTGTACTAACATGCATAGTTGCCATACGGTTCTTCCGTAACATCATTGGAATGCAAGAGGAATTCTATATCAAGCAAGTCGTCGAGAAGCAGGCCTTGGGCCCTGCGCTGGAAGTTCTTGCAGAAACTTTGCCAAGAGACAATCTGCTAAGCTCGGCATGCCTAGAGCTGTTTGAATTCATCAAGAAGGAGAATCTGAGGGACTTGGTAAAATATCTGGTTGCGAACCATAGGGACCTCATGACCAGTTTGAGCTACTTGACGACTTTCAAGGACATGATTCAGCGATACGACCAGACCCAAGGATACACCGCCAATATGGACTACTTCCTAGAGGAAAACGACGAAATGGCCCGGAAACCCCCTCCCCATACGAGGTTGATGGAGCATATCACTGTGGACCCAAGCGAAGAAGAGTACTGGAACACCTCAGACCCTGAAGATGATGATGAGGAGCACCGCCCAGATGTGCGCGACAAGATCTTGCCCAGCAATGGACCCCTAACACCTTCCAAACCTCTTGTCGACTACCCATCGGATGAAGAGAGCGATGAAAATTCCAACACGGAAGGTGACACTGCTACAAAGGCCAATAATGGCCCAGAGGAGTCGGCAGCCACCAGAAGACCCAGCCTCCCGTCTGTTGCATCACCGCCTGAACGATTGTCCGAAAAACGCCGCCGCGAAGAGGATGAAGAGGATGAGATAGGGAAGCTCATGCATAACAAACGCCGGAACAGTAGTTCGTCCGAGTCGAATTTCGCGACGGGTTCGCGGATGACCCCTAAACGAAAGCCGTTTGGGGGCGGCTCTGGAAATGGCAAGATTGCCATAAGCCTATCGACGGCAGTGAGGACAGGGGGGGGATCAAGGCCAGATGAGGAGTCATAACTGGTACATGGGTTATTTGTCCATTTTTGCTTCCTTTTTCGGCGACGGCGTACGGGACGGTTGATTGACGTCTTTTTTTTTTTCCTCGCCTGCATGAGAGTCAAATCGGCATGGCCGTATCGGGAACGGTCGGCAACGGCAATGAGAGGCCACGCGGCGTTATCAAGCTGACCTATGAGTGCACACTTATCATGGGGTTGGTCGCAATATTTTACCTCAGAGACGATCTTGGGGAATGGCAGAATACCAGCGATCTAGATTGAGTTTTGCTAAGAACTTAGACGGGGGGGGGGGGGGCTTGGTGACAAGGACTGGAATTGAGGGACAAGGGGTTTTCAATTTTTGGTTCTTCTTTTCTTCTTCTCCCTTTTTTTTCTCCCTTCCTTCCCCTTTCTCAGCTATAAACATGAACGGACATTTGGCAAGAGCTGGCGTGAAATTACATTACCTGCAATGGCGATCACGCAAATTTGGAGACAGGCATTCAGGGGGGAGCTCGAGGACATTTGGCGGATATGCTGCAGCTCCTAATGTATCATATATAATGAAGGGCTGGATACGACGGGTAGCGCAAAGGACATGCTGGGGGGCGAAATGAATGAATACGTACCCTCGGTCTGGACGACGACAACGACGGACAATGGACAAGTCATTGGCTATGATGATGCCTCACAGTTCTACTGCAAGCAAGGTGATGTGTGTGTTATGGAAGCGGAAAGAAGAAGAAAGATCTTGCATAAATGTATAAACCTGCACCGTGAAAATGCCATTTGGCCAGATTCCCATGGGTGCTCCTAGATGTATGTAATTGTCGCATGGCGGCAAAACCCAGCCGTAAAATGTAGCTCGTTGTCGCAGATGCGAGACTGATGATGAGGTTTCGTCATAGGCACAGCTTTGTTTTTTCCCTTCACAAATCCCCCTCCCCTTGTCTACTTGCGTCTAAACTGTCTTGACCAATTCTCATACCCGCTAATCATGAAACTCGTAATATTCCTGGGTGTTCTCTCCATGGCGGCGACCAAGTCATCCATGCCAATCTCCAGCTTGGCCGTGCCCGTCTCGTCGTCGTCGTAGCGGTCCAGCACCGCCAGCCCGGCCTCGTTGCAAATGGCCTTGATCTCGGCGCCGGAGTAGCCGTCGGCCAGCCTCGCGGCCTCCCTTACGTCGACGTCGTCGGCGAGGGCCAGCCCCCTGAGGTGCACGCCGAAGACGGCCTCGCGCGCCGCGTGGTCGGGCGGGCCGACGTAGAGGACCTGGTCGAAGCGGCCGGGCCGCATGAGCGCCGGGTCCATCGCCTCGGGGCGGTTGGTGGCGGCGAGGACGAGGACGCCCGTCAGCGCCTCGAAGCCGTCCATCTCGGTGAGCAGCGTGGTGAGCATGTTGACGGCGCCGGTGGAGCGGGAGCCGCCCGACGACGGGGAGGAGCCCGGGCCGCGCTGGCCGCCGATGGAGTCGATTTCGTCGAAGAAGATGATGGACGGGGAGGCGGCGCGCGCCCGCTCGAACAGCGTGCGGACGGCGCGCTCCGACTCGCCCACGTACATGTTGAGCAGCTCGGCGCCCTTGACGGCGAAGAAGTTGAACCCGGACTCGGTGGCCATGGCCTGCGCGGAGAGCGTTTTGGAACAGCCCGGCGGCCCGTAGAGGAGGAGGCCCTTTGGAGGGTTGCGGAGGACGTGTCGGCTTGAGGGGTTGGTGTTCTGTAGATGGTTGGTTTGTTAGTGGATGTAGTTGTGGTGTGTGGTAGAGAGATGACGACGGCTGCTTGGTAATAAAGGGGGAGGGGATAGCGACGAACCTTGGTGTTTTTAATCATGCGGTTTAGGACCTTCTTGAGACTCTCTTGCCCGCCTACATCCTGCCAATGAATCGTCGGCGGCTTCAGATTGATGTCGTGCATGGCCGTGGGCCTCGTGATCCTCAATGCCTGCTCCATATCGTCCTTGGAGAGGAATTGTTCTCCCGCCGTACAGGGATCGAGACCCTCCTCGTCGAGCCTGTTGCCGAGAATCTTCTTGGCGTTCAAAACCAGGTTTGCTAAATCGTCGCCATTGTAGGCATGCGTCTTTTGCGCCACGCTGTCCAGACACGCCCTCTTCTCGGCGGGGTGAACCGGCGGGTCGAAGAAGTTGAGAATCTCGAGACGTTCGCTGGCTCTGGGGATGGGGAGAGCAATGTTCTCTCTGAAACGGGAGCGTTTCTGGAGCTTGGCAGGCACGTCGGTCATGTAGTCCAGACATGTGGCGATGACGACGACCTGAGGGAGGGCGTTGCGGGCTCTGGCTTCGGCGGACAGGGCGTCGAGCTCTTCGCCGATGACGTCGATGACTGAGTCCCGGTTCGATCTGTCCTTGGAAATGAGGTCTTCTAGGCCGTCAATGAGGATCACGCTCGGTTGGAGGGTGTGTGCTTGCTTGAACGTTTCCCGAATGGCGGCCAGCTTGTCAGGGGGTTTGATCCAGAACGGCCGCCCCCATCTTGTATCGGCAATCTTTTGCAGGATAAAGGTCTTGCCCGTGCCGTGTCCGCCGTGGATGACAAAGGCGCACGACTCTCGCTCATCCTTGACCCAGAACTGCCGAGTGAACCCCTTGAGGAAGCGGTTGATGGTGCTGATTTGCGAGGCGAGGCCAGGCACGCCGGTGACGGCCAACTCACCGCCCGTGAAGGCTTCTGATTCATCTGCAGCGGCGGAGTCATCTCCCTCTGCCAGGATGCGGATCGTCGATGAGGAAATGCTGAACTTGGCAACGTTGTTTGTGTGCGAGTTGACCGAGACGACTTTGAACGTGCGCCGCAGCTTGTTGATATTGACGCCTTCAAACACCATGCCCGGGAAAATCAGGTCGGCACGCTCTACATTCCGCAGTTCAGTCAGCCAACACAAGCCGGTTTTGTTCAACGACAAGGAACACACACACACACACAAAAGAGAACAGAAAGGAAAAGAAACCCACCCATGGACAGACTCAACGAAAACTCCCAACAGGCGGCATGCCTTGCGCCGCGGCCGTCCTTGGCCTGCTGCTGCTCCTCACTCACGTCCTGCACAACCACCTCGTCCACGTCCGGCATGCTCTCCAGCAGCGAGATGCGCACCTGGTCGCCAATCCTGAAGCCCGTCGCGTCCTGAAACGCCCTCGTCATCATGACCACGTTGGGGCTGAGGTTCTTCTCGGGCAGAATCCACAGCGAGGCTTCCCTCCTGACCGGGCCCTGCGCCTGGTCCTCCAGCTTCTCGACGACGCATGGCCTGCCGTTTTCCAGGCCATTGGTGAGCGCGATGAGGGATTCCTTGCTGACGTAGAGGCGGGCGGCGCCGAGGAGGCTCGCCTTTTCGAGGGCCGGGTTGGCGAGCGGACGCACTTTTGCGTCGATGCTTTTTTTTACCATGGAAGGCGAAGGGCAGGTTCGGATTCGACTTGTGTGATTTGCGCCGGGAACGAGCGATTGCTGGAGTCGGCGAGTTTTGTGAACTGGTAGGTTGCAGGTTGTGAAGTGAAGCGTTGAAATTTCATACAAGTGCCGTCGGGATTCTGGAACCACTCTTTTGGTGCGAGGCCGCCAGCGTCGAGGGAGGTTGTTAATGTTTCGCTGCTAAAGAGTATTCAAACTTGATCCATGCACAGATTCAATCTCTCGCACCGCAATCATGTTACGTTGAACGCCATCCCCAGGAAGCAAGGTGGAATAGTCACGAGCAACATGCCCAACTTACATACACCCATAGTGGGGTTTGGCTGGCCTCTTTTTTTTTATAAGAAAAAGAGGGAAGTGACGTCCTCAGAAAAACAAGGGTCCCACCCATGCTCAGCGCCCCATTCTCCATTCCGCCCATCAAGCTTCATCCAGCCTTTCTTGAGCTTTAACCGTCGTCGCGCGTCAAGACCACATCGTCGCAATCCTCCGATCCCCAATGGCACAAACACCCTCAACACCACACCAATGATTCGACCCCAAGGGCTTCGTCGCACCGCGGCCGCCCTCCCGCCCTCATCCTCCATCGCAAGCCGCAACCTCTCATCCACAACCCCGACCCAAGCCGACCCCCAATGGCCTCTCCTCAAGAAACGAGCCAGTCCGCCAAACCAACAAGACACCATCCACAGCGGCGGCACGTCCCTCATTGAAAGCCTCAAAAACCGACAGCCACAAACACCTTCCGCAGCCGACCCAGCATCCTCACCCGCCTCCCTCGACACCACATCTCCCAAACCCGACTCCCGCCTCATGCTCATCCTCCACGGCCTGAGCCCTCACCTCAACGCCAGCGACTTCTACCGCCTCGCGCCCAGCGATCTCTCCTCCTGGCAAAGCGTCATCAAGAAAGGTACGCACCCCATCGTCCCCAAAAATACACACACGCAAAAGCATCCGACTCTCTGACCCCGAAAAAAACACACCAGTCCAGCAACAACGGAATCCCACGACCCTCGAGCCCCTCGGCCGCTATCACATATCATTCTCCACCTCCACAGCGGCAATATCCTATCGCGACCGCCTCCTCCGCCTGCACAAACTCGCCCATTACAAAATCCGCTCCCCGGGCGGCCTCTGGGAGAGCTCCACGCCGAGACACCTGACGTCGCCCGCGGGCGAGGACCCGGCCGCGGAATTAGAAACGTACACGGTAACCTCCGGGACGCAGCGGACCGTGGACGCGCAGAGACGACGCGCATCCGGGGGCAACAAGTGGGCGCAGAGGCTGGCCGGCGCCGTGGGCGGCCTCGGCCACGGGGAGAAGCCGCCGGCGGTGCTGGTCCACGTGTACCCCCCGACGCTGACGGCCGGCGACCTGGCCGCGCACATTGTCGAGGATGGCCTGTCGAGGGGCTGCGGGTGGAAGGTGTGTCCGCCGCAGGAGCTGCAGGCCGAGCCGGCGGAGCGAGCTACGGGCAGGGCATCATCCCATGGGAGTTCCCCCGGCGCCGACGTGCAGCCGCGCACGCAGCGGGATATTGATGTCCGGGAAAGGCTCAAGAGTCGGTTTGTCGTGGTTTGCGCCAACGACGCAGAGGCGCGTCGCTTTCACCGGCACTGGAATCAAAGAACCCTCACGGCCGGACCGGGGGATGCACAGGCAACGAGAAGAAATATAGTTCATGCGTCAATAATAAACTGGTAGCCGCCCGCACTATTCACTGAGCTTTCCCCCTCCCCAACCTTGCCGTGTCTTGTCTTCTCCCCCCCATCTGTATCCTCCACGCACTTTGCTTCCGATCCTTTGCCCGCCTTCCTCCCCCTTCTTGTTTATAGTGTTCACCGGCTCGCCCGCAACATTATGAGTGTCCACCTGGGGAACAATCGCATGCAGTCATTGTTTTGGATATTACTCCTCGCGCCTTCATGCACGGCAGTTCCTCTGACACAGGTATCAAGATCCCCCAACCCTTCAAGCGACACCGTGAAACAACGGCGGGGTGGACAAAGCCTCGCATTAGAACCCAGACCAAAATACCAACAAAAAAAAAAAACTCCTGACCACATTTACTCTTCTAGAAAGACAGTTGGTGGGAGAGGCGGAACACAGTGACACGGGTCTAGAAATCGTTTAGTATAGCCCATCCGCCTCAGAAACATATTCCCCTTCTCTGTCCCATACACGTGTGACATCCGGGGCTCGATAAATAGAGACTTTCGTTTCCGCCTTGAAAACATTCGTCTAAGCGGGCTGGTTTGTTTGTTTGTTTAGTAAAATCTGTTTGCGTCTTGTGTCTGTGTCCGTATCTGTGCTTGCACACCCGCAGGAAAGACGCCGACACTCTCGTTGTCATGTGTGGACAACTAGCAACACTTGCTGCCACCTGCGTCGGTCTTATCACCAACGTTGACGCCGGTACCGGTCGCTTGGTCGTTCTTGGAGCTATCGATGAGACGCTTCTTGATATCGGCGGCCAAACTGTAGAAGGCTTTGTCGATGTTGATATTGCTCTTCGCCGAGACCTCGAGAAACGGGATGCCGAGCTCGTCGGCCAAAGCCTGGCCCTGCTCTGTTGATACTACTCGCTTGTCCTCCCAGTCGCACTTGTTACCAATCAAGATCCTGTTGACACCTTCGGTGGCATGTTGTTCAACATTTTGGAACCAGGTTCGGATATCTGGAGAAAACGAATTGTCAGCTTCCATCTTGGGTCAGGCTTCGCTGTGTCCGGTGGCGTTTTGGTGACGCTTGGGGTTTGTTGAACAGGGACGGTTCCTCAAGAAGGCTCCCAGAGCTCTCGGATCCCTTTCCCAATATTGCAGGTAGAGACGGGCCAGCAAAAGAATCATGACAAGGGGGAAGGGGGGGCCATACTGTTGAACGATCGCTCGTCGGTGACGTCGTAGACTAGCAGAATGCCCATGGCACCGCGGTAGTAGGCCGTGGTAATGGTGCGGAATCGCTCTTGGCCGGCAGTGTCCCATATCTGCAGCTTGACGCGCTTCCCATCGAGCTCAATAGTTCGAATCTTGAAATCGATGCCAATGGTGGTGATGAATGACGGGGTGAAGGAGTCCTCGCTGAAGCGCAGCAAGCAGCAGGACTTTCCGACGCCGGAGTCGCCTATTAGCAACAGCTTAATCTACACCGGGGAGCAGGTCAGTACGCGTCGATGTGACGGGCATGCAGAATGGCCACAATTGCTCAGCCGCGCCAGGTTGAAATTGCAAACATGTACTGGCTTCCGAGGGTCCGTCGTGGCGGCAGACAGCAAAATGCGCCGGGCCGAGTCGGAGAGTTGATGGGGATTGGGGCGACGTACCAGGAAGTCGTAGTTGCGATTGTTCACCATGGTGACAGATTACGAGCGGTGAAGCGTCTCGCGGAGTGTCGGCAGGGGGCGGTGACGCGGGTGACGAGGACGACGAGGGCTGTCGGCTGTAATGGCCAGCCAGAGTGTGTGGTGCGACGGGCGAGATGCAAAGTTGTGAGTTGCGAGATGCTCGGCTGGGGGAGGAAAGGGGAACAGCAGGCCGAGACGAGGCAGGGGCGTTTAGTGGCGGTGATGTGGTTCAACCAGTTTTGGGGTGGCGGCCGGGTTTCGAGGCGTCCGAGTTGTTATAGGGTACCTGGATGTAATGATTACGTCAAGCCGGGACTTTGTTAGGTTTGGGTGCTGCCTGCTAAGGAGCCAAGGTCTACCTACTACCAAGTAGAGGTACCTAGTACCTGATAGCAGGTACAGCACTAGACAGTACTTGGCAGTACTATGCAGCTGGGTACTTGTCACTTGCCCGTGTCGATGGGCTCGATGGGCTTGATTGATTGATGGGGGGAGGGGGGACTAATAAACGTTTGTGCGAGAGACGAAAGACAAGCAGGTTTCGATCAACTGGTCTTTCTCGCAGAGGCTGATTCATCAATACTCAATGCCAGCGTAACGTGCGGCACTTGGAGGGGGCGGAGGAACAAAGAGGCATTCGAGGTTCTACAAAAAGAGACATGGAACGAGAGGGGGCAAGAGCGCCGACACAGTCTCGGTTTGCGGACGAGGCCTGCGCTCTGGCATTGGGGGTTGCCACATGCATCGACGTCCAGCTTGCAACATGGAACGTGGAACGTTTGAAGCCCCGATGCGCCGCCTGGCTTGCTGGCACTGCTGAAGGATTCCAGATGACGGCGTGCGAACCTGGACCAGCTGTGCCGATTCTGGTCGGCTCGACTCCGCCATGTGCTTGGCACATCCTCCCCCCGCTCTATCCCACAATGGCTCTACGATAATCAGTCCATGGCCCCATTCGACGTCAATCCGTGTCCAGAGACGCATTCAGAGCTCGACGGTCAATACATACATACATACATACATACGTAACTCATTCATACTCATGGGCGGCCGTTCAGCCGGCTTCCTTGGCGTGTGAAACGCAGGCCAGCTGCACTATTGTGTATACAAGAAGAGAAAATTCCCATCACATCTACCCCGTCGCCGTGAAAACATCATTCCACATCCCGAGAGCCTTGCCTGGCAAATCCGGCATCGTGTCCTCGCCCTTGAACTCCACGGGGCCCTTGGCATAGTCCCCCGAGTTGCACCGCGTCTCCGACTGCGTACAATACTCCTGCCACGTCTTGCAGTTGACGTCGCCGCTGGGAGTTACAGAGTTCCAGCACGCCTGGTCCTGACTCCAACAGTTCTCCACCGACGCCCAGCAGCCGTCCTCGTTCGAAAAGCCCGGCAGCGGCTTGGCGCACCAATTTGCGTTCTTGACGACGCAGTCCTTGGGGATGGCGCCTTCTGTCTGGTTGCCCGGACTGGGCGAGAACGACTTGGCCTCTGGGATAAACACTTTCGGCCCCGGAATCGGATACTCGCCCTGCGACTTTTTGTAGATGTTGTACGTCAGGCCAGGCGTGTCCGCAGACACGTGTCCCGGTATCGACACGTTGGCCTCATCCGGTATGCGCAGAGGGCCGTCGGGCCCCTCCTGCACGTAGATCTGCGCGCAGCCGAGATAAAACTGCGGATCCCCCTGAGGAGCGTTGTGCAGGGCCAGGATCTCCGGACGCACGAGGTAGTAGCCCGCCGGCAGGCCCTCGGGCAGACGCACCGAGAGAAGGCCCTCCTTCTCGATGAGCTTGTCCACGCACCACTGGCCCGAGCCGGCGTCGTAGCCGTCCTCCCACACCTTGAACCAGCCCGGCCCGGCGGCAGCGTTGTCGGCGTACATGTCGTCCATCTTCTTCAGGTACACCGAGCAAGGGCCCTTGTGCTCCGGCGCAATGACCCCAGGTCGGGTGCCGTCAGTCCACTCGCGGAACTTGAACGTCAGCGTGGCATTGTGCGGCGCGGGACAAGTATAGGCGACGGCTTTGTTGCCGTCACGCCCTGTAAAACACACACGATGCGTCAGAACAAGAGCGACCAGCTACGTGGCGAAGCAGAAGAAGCACGGGCAGACCTACCACAGGACATGTCGTCTCCCGTAATGGGGTATATCGGGCCGTTGGCCGTCGAGCTGTCGTGCGGCATTCGCACACAGGTCCCGTCACCCTGGTTTTCCCCGTTGACATAGAGCGTGGTAAAGAGCGTGTGAGCACTTGCCGCCGAAGCGAGCACCAAGACTCCGAACTTCATGCTGAATTGGGCGATCTACGCGAAATGAAGAGAAAGAAAGGAGAGAAAAAGGTCAGAGATATAAAGGAATGGAATGAATGGAATGTCAATGAAGGAATGAATGGACGAGTGACGAGCCTCATGTCCAAGATTACCGGGCGGACAATGGCGAAGTTATATACTCCATCCGCCGGCCCAAACAAAAAAGCCAAACTGGTACTCCGTAGTCCTAGCTCGAACCAAGGCATTGCACATAATTGCCGCATACGCGGTGAACAAGATCTGTATCAAAATCGAATAGCCGCTGTGAATCCATGCCATCAGAAACCAATCATCAGTCGCGGGTGCCTCTCCAAATCGCGACTACGGACGAATATTGTCCAGGGGGCCAGGAACAGACCTGCCTCTTCCAGGGGCTCCTCGGAGGGGAAATAGCATCAAGGGGAATCGCATGTTCAGCTGCAAGATGCATGTATGCAGCCAAGCGAAAAACCAGTTATTGCGTGAAATACATGGTTTAAAGTTCAAAGGTACAGAATCCCAGGTACGTAGTCGCCCTCGTAGCGGCGCCCCAGGGCCAATCATTCCCTGTTGTTTACTGCTCCCCGGGACAGGGCCGCACGTTTTTTAAATTTGACCAGGCTTTGCCGCTCCACGCCCCCAGTCGTTGCCGCCAGCCTATCGCGCCTTTGACCTACAATTCATGCTTGAGCACAAGGTTTAGCCACCAAATTACATATCAAGAAGGCACTTGTTTCATCGCAAATTCAAACATGCAGAGCGAGTCTCCGTACAAGGCCATGAGTGGAGATTGAATGTACTACTTCCTTCCAAAACCAGCGATATCCCCCTTTTTCGTGCATTCTTCAGCACGACCGCACAAATCATCCACATGATTCATATCCACCCCAAATTCTGCTCCTCTCCCTAGCCCTTGCAAGGAGGTTGCCATTCTTCTATCCCACTTTGTGACCGTCTTTTGTTCCCTATGGTACAGTATATGGTACAGCCGTGCTATTCGTTGGCGGATATGGTGCTTTTTACTCGTTGATCTTGGCCAGAATTCTACGTCGTGCGCCACAACACATTAGTCACTTCCTTCTTTCAAAGCCCATGTTGTCACATCAAAGGAACAAAAAAAACATGCAGGGCCAACTTACTCGCTGTCACGGAACAGCTGGTACTCCTCCTCGCCAGCCTTGACAGGTGAGCCGCCAAACTACAAACACCAGTTAGTTCTTTCAAAGCTCTTCGGCAAACTTGTCCAGACGAGACCTACAGAGGGGATCAAGACACGGTCGCCAACGGTGACGCCCATGGGCAGGCGGTTTCCCTCCTTGTCCATAGCCCCAGGGCCAACGGCCAGAACCTTGGCCTCATTCAACTTCTCGACGCTGGACTCGGGAAGGAAGATGCCGCTGGCAGTCTTGGTCTCGGCCTTGATGCGCTGGACGAGGACGCGGTCCAGGAGAGGAGCGAGGGCTCGGATGGATCGAATTGAAGTAGCCTACGTGTGAAGAGAAAGCACACATTAGTCCTTGGGTCCTACATTGGAGATGCGTGAACCCTTTGAGAGCTTTGTCCCGGCCATTGCCGACATAGTTGCCAGCTCCAGCGCGTTAACGGCCACAACGGTTGCTGAGACACTACGCGGGTGCTGGTTCAGTCATAGGGCATGATACATACCATTGTAATTAGAATTAGTTAAGGTCCGCAAAGTGCACCGGGTCCGTAAGAGAAGCAATTGTTGATGATGAAAGGGGTTCCGAAGTTGATGATCGCTGTTGAAGTCAAGTGGAGCTCTTTCTTCCAACAGCTTCGAGAAAGTCAGCAATTTTTTTTCTGAGCTGGCAGCCACATGCCCCGGCTCCTGATTTCCCCGGTTCCGGCGACCCGCGATTCTTCAACCGAGTTAACCCAGCGACCACTCGGCGTAGAATTATGACGTAGCAACTGCTCAGATTGCTCATGAAGCCCAGTTTCATTGAAAACTTACCCAAATATCAAACTATTGATAACAACTGTTCAACTACATATCTATTGCTATTTTATTGCTCCTGACTTAGGCAACATGCCCCGAGGCACACCTGTAAGTCGGTTATACTCCTCTTTCCCACATATCAGTGCCATCACTTCATGCTTCTTATGGTTTGTTCTCGTGGTATGCAAAATCAATACTCCAGCCAACTTGTCAGAGATCCGGCCCCTGTATCCAGAAAAAAAAAACGCCACATGAGTTGAGGTATTATCCAAATATGCCCTAGTTTCTACAATTGCAATGATCCTTCTCATAAATTTAAATCCATTATGTCTTAGATTGCTGCTGCTGGGAGGCGGGCGGCTCGAGCACGTGCGTATGGTCCTCGGCAGGGATGACTTCACCATTCTCCAGCTGTTGGCATATAACAGTATCTGCAACCCACGACTCGCTCAAAATTTCGTCCATCTTAGCACGAGTCTTGGGGTCAAGGTCGAGCATACGATGAACGATGTGGCGACTTTCTCGCGGCAACAATCTGAGAATTCTCCAAGGGCCGCGTATAATTTCCTTGCGTTCTCCTGCGGCGCCTTGGTTCTGAGCCTGCTGGCTGTGGGATTCTGCCGTAGATGGAGCTTCTGCGTTTTCCTTTCCATGCGAGTGGCCATGACCTTGGTGGTGTGAATGGTGAGAGTGATTGCGATGACCTTTTTCTTTCAAATCCTCGTCCGTCAAGAACTCCCTAGCTACTGTGCTGGACAAGTTCCCAGTTGATTTAGAGTGCGTAATGAGTTTTGTCGGGTCGTGTCCGGGAGTGGGATCGGCTGCAAAAAGCTTGAAAGAGTTATCTGTCATTCTCGGAATCTTCCAAGGGAAGCGCCGCAAAGTCATGCAACAGAAAATGATGGCCAGTGACCAAATGTCTACAGCCGCTGCATCATACTCCTTCACGTCATAAACTTCTGGAGCCAGATATGGGTCAGAGCCAACAATGCCTAGAATATGAACTTAGTATACCGGCATGACATAAATTTCGGCTACAAGTCCAAACATACCTTTGGCAGAAACAGTGCCGTTCTCAAAGGGATACTTGAAGACATGGGCACTGCCAAAATCAATAATCTTCATGATACCCTTATCACTGACGACAACATTGTCCAGCTTCAAATCCCGATGTGCCAGTCCCACGCTGTGCAGGTAGGTGACACCGTTTAAAATCTGTAAGAAGCAACATCGGATTTCCTCTCGACTCATTCTGCCCGTCATGACAATGGCAAATAGATCAAATGGCGCATATTCCATGACTTCGAACCATCGGCCCTTCTCCTGGAGAATGTCCAGAGTCTCAATAATATTTCCATGATGGAGCGTTGAACCGACGCAAAATTCGGCAGTGACCTTTTTGTTATATTCCTTCTCCGTCTCGTAGCTATGTCTGGCCCTGAACTCTTTGACTGCGAAAACCGTGTTGTCCTCCTTGCGTCGCATTAATCTGACTGATCCTCCGGCACCGGCGCCAAGAACCTTGCCAAGCTTGCCATATCTTGACGATAGACCGTGGTCGTCACTGAAGGGAAGTTGCTGGTTCGCAGATCGAGACGTAGGAGGTGTTCTGGTGCCTGAGGCAGGGGATTGATCCCTCTTCTTGTGGTGGTGATGTTGGTTATGGCCAGACATTCTGAAAAACCGCTTCAAATCCGCCATAGACCCTTGTGGAGTGTGGCCAGAACCAGCTCCTGCACCCTCGACAGTGAGATGTTCGTCGCTTTTGCCAAACACGCCTGAAGCACGCTTATCAGTTAGGCTCGTCTTTGAGCTGCCTGGGGATCCATGCTTCTTCTTCCTGGAAAAGACAAAGCGAGGGTCAATTGTGTGTCGTGTAGGGTGCGATTGCTGTGGAGGTCGCTTTCCTTTGGCGTATGGATCATTTGCGTCCCCGCCAGGTGTGACAGGCTTTGAATAGAAGTTGGACGCGGAGCTTCGCGACGGGCTGGACTCTCGAGAGACGGGAACGGAGCCAGCGCCGACACCAAACATGCCCCTTCTATGAGACCTGTGGTCCTCAACAGAGGAGGAGCGTCTCATAACATTGTCCGAAGAAGCAGGTCGGTGAGTAAGTTGCTTGCGCTCCTCAACCACAGGAGACCTATCGTGCGAAGACGAGGCCTGAGGAGTGATTATCTGGGGGTCGCCAGAGCTAGGACCCTTGTCGGATGGTCCTCTGGAAATTCTCTTCTCAGACACTATGGACGGGCCCGAACCGGCGGGTGTAAGAGGCGGGGACGCCAACGCAGAGAGCCTTGGGCTGCCATGGGGCGAATGGAAGCTGGAAGAATTGGGTGTTGGGAGTCTCGTTGAATCCGCCGACTCGTCTTCCCGGGACGGAACCTTATTGGTTTTATGTCAGATTTGTGTGACACAAAGATTCAACCGCCGACAGCGCATAGGGATAGATGGACTTACTCTGGATGGGGGGAGAGAAAAGGCCTCGAATTGGAACGTATTCATACGCCTCTCTTGAAGAGGGCGACCTTGCAGAGATTTGGTAAATGATTTAAGCTCGTCAGCAGCAACCTCGGAGAAGCTATAGTCTTGTTGGTCTTGGCTCGTGGCGGGGGCTGCAGCGGATGGCGAGATTTCCTCTATGGAAGAGGCAAAGCGAACTGCCGGAGCATCATCCTTGGGTTCAGAGACGTCGCCCGGAGCATTCGCAGTCGTCTGCGATGGCTCTGGGGCTGTTGGTAGCATAATGCAAGGTCAGCGAGTTGTTTTGGAAAGCGGCGCAACGGGATGAATTGCAAAAGTCAGTGGCGGCAAAGCGACGCAGAGAGCAGGCAGTCATGTCGCGGAATTCAGCCTGCAAACCGGAGTCGATTGGATTGGATCAATGTTGCACCCGCAGATGCAACCAGACAGCACCAGGCTGCGCGGGGGAGAAGGCGCAAGAGATCACAAACACACTTGCACGGAGGGGTACTGAATCCGGAAGAGTCGGGGAAAAGATGCATTGACGTACCGGCGGTGTCTGGATGGTGATGATGCCCCTGGTTGGGGGATTGGGAAGCCATGAGATGGTAACGAGCAGAGCCTGATGGGGAAGCTAGAACCGGTCCGAGGCGTGCCTGGTTGTCGCAGGACTTTAGGAGAGGTTGAAAGGAATAGGAAAGAGGAAAGCGAAGCAATGTGATGTTTTCGCTTCTTTGGGGGACTGCACGGCGATGCCTTAGCTAGCGCGAGTGGGAAAGAAGCTGGCGGTGGGGCAAAATGTTCAAGCGCTCCATCATGCTACAGATGAAGAGTAGGCAAGTACGAGGTACGAGTTGACAGTTTGGTGGTTGCAGGAAGGAGCGACACAGGCCGCAAGGACAAGGCAACTACAACAGGGAAGGGGGTAAACTAAAGGCACGCCGGAGCCGGGAGTAACATTCTGGTGGAAGCCGATGCGAAGAGCCGTCAGCCTTCTGCTCCGGATGGCCATCATTCATCAGCGAATTTGCTGCAGGATGATGGGCCGGTCTGAATCAGTTTGGTCGTACAAAGTACACCAGCCAAGATGCAGTCGTCGCGTTTCGCCGGCTACTGTCAGTCTGTCACCGCCACAGCGCGCCATAGAACCCACCCGACGGCCGCCCTCCGAAGGCACCGCTTGAATTTTTCTGAATTTTTTTTTCCTTAAAAAAATTCCTTCCGCCTGCATTAGGAGGCAAATACGACAGCTGGAGCTTGAGGGCTAACCCGGCTCCGGTAGTAAAATTGCAACTCATTGACGCCCCAATGACATGCATGACGGATGGCTTGAAATTTCCCCGACTTACACCGCGGCACAAACCATACATGGCCTTGGCTCAATATAAGTACTAAGTATGGATGTTTCTGCACGTCTGTGCCATAAAGCTCATCGCCTACCTACAGTCAAAAATTTTCAGCAGCTTGAACTCGACTGCATGCCGACTTCTCACTGTCCCTTGTCATGTTGTTTAGCCATGTCGAGGCGTCCTGTCATGAACATGTTCGGCAACAAGCTCGTCACATGGACTTCTTGCACCACAGGGTTCCTGACTCTCGGGCTGAAGCCGGCCAACCACAGCCCACCCCACCCACATGGAGTGCCGCATTTGTACACATCAAGGCTTCTGCTGCGTTTTCCATTTTCGATTGTACACTCCGTTGTCGGATTGTCCCATGAAGCCGTTATTTCGCACCACGTGATATGATGCAGACTGTGCGAAACCCCGCCCGCTGGCCAAAGGCTCCGGATGCTGCACCTGAGCCTGCAACGCAATGGGCCAATTTCGACCAAGATTGAATATCCATCGCATTGCGAGTCCGGTGTGGCTGAGTGCCCGTCCATGTTTCGGGACAGATCGAACAGCCGTGATGGACGCGTAAAATGGACCAGACCCACAGTGGACTTTTGCTGGACATCGGAGCTTGTTCTGCGGGAGAAATAGCGACTTAAGTACTCAAGTACCTTGTGGAATCGGAATCCTACCGGCGACCAGTTGGCGTCTTGCAGCCGCTGGGGCTGAAAAGCTTTTTGCAAAGATTTCAATGTTGCCTTGCAAGTTTTCAGCCGCCCATTGCTGGTCACTGGAATATTATGAATGATAGCCTCATGTCCCATCAACGAGGGCCACATGCTTGCTCGCCTGAACTGGGGGTGAGGAGGTCAAAGTTGGCATGTGGCTGGTAGTCGAATTTTTCTAGAACGTTGGAATAGGATCCCAATACTCAGCTCAGACCAGGAAGATGGTGGTAGTAGACTAGTAGTATTGACGTAGTACTAGTAGTAACATAAAGTCAGCCACAGCAACCGCCTGCATGTCAAGCAAGGCCCGCGGTTGCACCGCTATACCTGGCTGCTTTGGCTCTTAATATCCAGGTTCTAGCCAAGGTTTGCCAAACATTTAATACCTCAACATGCTAACGAGCACATCTGGACAAATCAAGTTTTTCTTCGCAATCCCGCGCTGTTGATTAAGCAACCGCCAGCACCATTACAAATATTCCAACGCGCACCTTGCAAAAACTTTGGCATGATGAAATCCCGACGTCCTTTTTCACATTCTACCAATCAAAGTTCCATGCTATAATGATGAAATCGTGATTCTGGAATTTCCAACCTGGGCATAGGACATGCAGCATTCATATTGTACATTTGGCTTCAAGCCTGCTTCCTCTGTAGTATACACTAATCATCACCCCTCATCTTGAGAAAAAAAAAGGCAACTTTCAGCACTCTATAGGCCTCATATCAGATTTGGCTCCCCACCGCTTTCCTATGCCACAACGTTGATACCGATCGACCTCGCTTGATAAATGATTGACCTGCACAATCCCTCTAAAGAAAGACCGGAAAGCCGTAATTCTGACTGCTTGATCTTTGCGATTTCGTACACATGCTTCAAACTTATGGTTCCGACCGTCTCGTGACCCGGTTTGCTGGCACCCTTTCTGTTTCCTTTCTTATTCCGCGGTGCTTCAACAGCATTCAAAAGAAGCCATGAAGTTTGTGGCGTTCGCAGATCAAAGTGGAATGATCTGTCCGGTCGAACAGTGACTCGACAAGGCATCGGCGTGCCGGGGGTTATGTGTGCGGTCCTGGCATTGAACTCCTGTGATTTCGAAATAAAGTCTCGGTTAGAAATGGCCTCAAAATACGCCAGTTGAACGCGAGTTGGCGGCATCGCAGTGTCCAGGCATCCTCCATACCTTGCAGAAATCCATCGACTTGACACCCTTACTTCCCAGTGCAGGACCAACCGGCGGACTGGGACTCGCCTGGCCAGCTCCAACAATCAATTTGACCACCTGGTCAACGGCGCCAGTTGCGCCCTTTGCTTTGGACATTTTGATGCGGTTGTGGCCCGTGGCGCGGTGGTGGTTTCGAGGGCCAGACGTGGTCGCTGGAGCATGGAGTCGTCACTAGGAAGATTTCATCAAGCTTCTGGTGTTTTTGGGCAGAGCCTCGTGTTTGACATACGGTGGGGGTGGGTGTATCTTGGATTTTTTTGAACCCGCCCCACACGGCCGTCTATCCAAAAAATTTGGAAAAGCACCAGAGGTTACGTTGACAATTCAAACTGTCGGCAAACGATCGTACTTGGTTGCGCACCAGTCCGGTCTTAGGCAGCGAGGTTATCCCCTTGCATCTTCTTCAACCACAGACAGCGGGGGTTTGGACAAAACTCGAGGAAGGATGCCTTCCACACACCAACAAGATAAGCCGTGGGATACGGACGACATCGATAAGTGGAAGGTCGACACATTCACCTCCAAAGACAATGTTGGCGGCACGTTTGCGGAGGAGTCGTCATTTGTGACTCTGTTCCCCAAATACCGCGAAGTGTATCTGAAAGAAGCGTGGCCCCTCGTCACCAAGTCTCTCGAAAAGCATGGCATTGCCTGCACATTGGATTTGGTTGAAGGCTCAATGACGGTCAAGACGACCCGAAAAACGTTTGACCCGGCGGCGATCCTGAACGCGCGCGATCTCGTCAAGCTCTTGGCTCGAAGTGTCCCGGCTCCGCAGGCAGTCAAGATTCTCGAGGACGGCATGGCCTGCGATGTCATCAAGATTCGAAACCTGGTGGGCAGCAAAGACCGATTTGTCAAGCGACGACAAAGAATATTGGGCCCCAACGGCTCGACCCTCAAGGCACTCGAGCTCCTGACCGAGACGTATATTCTCGTTCATGGAAACACAGTCTGCGCCATGGGCGGATACAAGGGTCTCAAAGACCTTCGAAGAATCATCGAGGACTGCATGGCCAACATCCACCCCATCTATCACATCAAGGAGCTCATGATCAAGCGCGAGCTGGCCAAGGATCCCGAGCTTGTAAACGAGAGCTGGGACCGATTCCTCCCCAACTTCAAGAAGAAGACGCTCAGCCACCGTCGTGTCCCCCACAAGGTCACGGACAAGACCAAGAAGGCGTACACACCCTTCCCGCCTGCACCCGAGCAGAGCAAGATCGACAAGCAAATTGAGAGCGGTGAATACTTCTTGGCCAAGGGGGCTAAGGATAGAGCGGCCAGGGAGGAACGCAACGAGAAGCAGAAGCTTCGGAAAGAAGAGAAGACAAAGGAGCGAGAGGCCGAATTCGTGCCTCCGGAGGAGAATAGGCCGAAGAAGAAGCGGAAGAAGTCGTCTGATTAAGACAAGGGAGTGGGGGCTGAATTGGGAGTTTGTTATGTTTGCTTGTCCGACTGGAGTCGTTACGTATCATTCCCAGCTGGGGAGGACAAGTACTGGCGGCATTCAAGGCGTTTTGATATCCTACGAAAATTCAAAGATATTTCATTGCCAAAAATGATTCGAGCAAATTTACCTCCATTCGTGTGATTCATTATTGGCCGCCGATTCTTGGGGTGTTTCGCTCATCCTTCTCCTCTCGTTCTCTTATCTTACAGTTTTGACGACGGGCGGTCATTAATCTCAATGACCAATTTACCAAACTGTGTCCCAGCATCCATATCCTTAAACAAGCCATCAATACCCTCCAGATTCGCCAACCCTTTCACCGTCTTACTCACAACGGGCCGGATCTTCTTCTCGTTCACAAAGGCGACCATGTCCTTGAACTCCCTCTTGGAGCCCATAGTCGAACCCCTCAGCTCGATATTCATCAAGACAGCCTGCATAGTCCACTCCATCTTGGGCGCAACCGTCATGCCGTACTGGGAAATGATGCCGCCAGGCTTCAGGAACTTGGTGGCCTTGGAGACGATGTTGCCCCCCGCACCGTCAATCACAGCATCGATATACGGTCTGCTCTCGGGGAGCAAGCTCTTCAACTCGCGCTCCCAGCCGTCGTTCTTGTAGACGACGCCGCCCTTGGCCCCCATCCTCTTGGCCTTGTCAATCTTGGCCTGGTCGCCAGAGGTAACGTAGACGTTGATCCCCATGGCCACGGCGAACTGGAGCACCTGGATAGCCACGCCGCCTCCGATCCCAGTAACAAGTATGTTCCTGCCGGCTTCGGCGTTGCCGCTCTTGGTGACGAGCGCTCGCCAGCCGGTCAGGCCTGCGAGCGGTAGGGCCGCGCCCTCGGCGGGGGTGAGATGCGCCGGTGCGGGCACGACATCGTCTTCCTCGACAAGGGCGTAGTCCTGGGCGCAGCCTGTTTTGGTCGCCGACGACGCGCCGGTGATGAGGACGACGCCCCTTTCCGGCCCTACGGGGTCGGATTCCCACATGAGCATGGGGTTGAGAAGGACAGGCTTGTTGAGGAGATTCCTCTGCTTGACGGCTGCCCCGGCCTCCACGACGGTGCCGTAGCCATCGGCTAGCAGGGGGTTCTCAAACGAAATGGCTGGGTAGAGATGTCTGCGGATGAACAGGTCCTTGTGGTTGAGGGCCGCGGCGTCCATGCGAACGAGAAGCTGGCTGGGGCCGACCTCGGGCAAAGGCGCTTCCCTGATTTTGATTCTGTCGTTTGGAAGAGCGGGGGAAAAAATTAGATGCTGGCTGGTGATTGACGGAGTCGCGAGAATACTTACGGGTAGTAGACCTTGCCTGGCTTGCCATCAATCTTTTGCACATGAAGAACTCGCGGCATTGTGAAGGGGATATTCTGGATTTTTACTGGAGATTTGCAGTCAATTGGAAAATAAAAGTTGTATTATTCTGAGAGTCATTGGGCAATGTACAATAAGGTACAGAGTGGTTGACGCAGGCGTGAACGCATCAAAGATGATGTATGGCCCAGCAGCCCATTGCCGCCTTAATAATGCAAGTTGACGGTTTAATCGCAGATGGCGAATCGCAGACCGCGGCGGTATCTCATAGCCGAATGCATCGCCATGGCGGGGAAACAACGGCATCAAGCGTGGGGACCTCGGCTGGCGCTGGGAGGTTGTACGCGGACAAGGGACTTGGAGCTCGCACGCAGGTCCGCTTGGTCATCTGTAAGTAGACTGTCATCCACCATGTGTGTTGTGCATACTATCGATAGCCAGCCCCTAAACCAATCAGCCGGCACCTGGCATCTGGGCATGCATTGCGCGGACAGTGAGGCAAACGGCAGGCCTGCACACTCTTTACTGGTACAATGTAGCTGTAGTATATCCAAATGCCGAACCGACCAAGACCCGTTGCCGTCGTCGAGGCGCCGCCCGTCCAGCATCAAGGTGCCCGACCTGACACTTACATGCCCGGGTCACACAGTGCACATCCGGGCCAAGGTGGGTCCAAAGAGAATCCAACCAGACCCCACAGCTTGAGACTTCCATGAGGCTTCGAGGCTCGGGCCAGGTCGGCGAATCATCAATTCCACGGCGACAACAACTCGTGCGCATTGTTCAGCAACCAGTCACCTGCCGCATGGCTACAAACTTTCCACATTTCAAACTCCGGCTTTGAGCCACCTAAAAGGGGGGGAAATACTAAAAAAAGAAAAAAAAAAAGAATCACCACGCAAACACGACAGGACAAGCCAACGACACACAGCACGCCATGGTCCCCGATAATTGCCAATCCCACCGGACGCCATCACCAACTCGACACTAGCCACCAAACGAGCCAGTGGCCCTCCCACACACACACACCCCTTCGCCGACTACGAGAGCGCTTTACCAAGCACCCGGTTCATAAGGGGTCCTATAAACGTGGCACCATGGATCCGGATCGTCGCCGAACGAGGGCAAAGAGGGCGCCTCTGCACGCAGACCAGATCGCCGAACATCGAGTGTTGGCCCTCCTTCCGTCCGTGGAGCAATCGGCGGCCCATGCATAAAAGGCCAGAAAAGGATTCCAAGGGCCAAACAGAAGGAAAGAAGATCTATAAAAGAACACGACTCCAAGAGCTCCCCCATCCGCCGCGTTCCTGGGCCGCATCTCTACAGAAGAAAAAAGTTGAGCCGCATCTACATCTCTCTGCGGTCGAGTCTTTCCCCATGGCCGCCACTGCGATATCGGGGGCTGCCTTTGGCGCTGCCATGATGGCCGCCGGCTTCCACGAGCCTTCTGTGGTGATTTCGCAGTTGAAGTTCGAGAATTGGCACATGTTCCAGACCTTTCTGGCTGCCACTGCCACCAGCGCGTGAGTCGAGGCCCGTCTTCCTTCGAGGGCGAGGGGTCACCAACTAACACACGTCTCCGCCAGGGCGATATACGCCGTTGCCGAGCGTCTGGGCTACGCAAAGATCTCGCCCCGGAACTCGTCTCCGCTGGGCCTCTTGTCCAGCTACGACGGCAACATTCTGGGCGGCGGCCTCCTGGGCGCGGGCATGGCCCTGTCGGGCTCGTGTCCCGGCACGCTCTACGCACAGCTGGCGGCGGGTGTTCGGTCGGGCTTCCACGCCTTGGACGGCGCCATCATTGGCGGCGTGCTCTGGTCCGGACTGGTGAGCAGGCTGGTCAGGAGACGGCGGGAGAAGGCCGGGGCGAGGCCGGAACCAGCTGTCGTCGGTGAGCGGCTGGGCCTGTCCAACGGCACTGCGCTGCTGTTGCTCGAGGCCGTCTGCGTGGCCGTCATTGCTGCCACGACGCTGTATACGCCCGCCAGTCCCACGGCCAAGATTCCCGGCGCGCTGGCCGGCCTCCTCGTCGGGGGCGCACAGCTCGTTTCTATTCTCACGCGGAGGACCATGATGGGCATCTCCGGCTCGTACGAAGAGGTGGGCAATTTCTTCTGGTGGCTCGTCCGGGGGGCCGACCCCAATGCCAAGCCTTCCTCGTACCAGAACATCCTGTTTGCCTCTTGGGTCGCGGCCGGCGCTTGGGGTCTCTTGAGGCTGGTCCCCGGGTTGGCGTCTGGCCCTGCCTACGAGATATCACCGTTGTTGGCCGTGTCAGGCGGTGTGTTGATGGCTGTTGGGTCGAGAATGGCGGGAGGGTGCACCTCGGGGCACGGCATCAGTGGCATCTCGCTGCTGTCTGTGTCGAGCGTCGTCACGATTATGAGTGCGTTTGCTGCTGGGGGTGTGGTCGCGCCGTTGGTTCATTGATCTTGTCCAATTTCCTCGTCTATCCATATTATTATTATTTAGCTGTGCAACACAAGTCCGTTCCTAGGCAGCCTGTTAACGAGAATAAAATGTTGCCTATTTCTCAAGTCCACATCCTTTCTTCGCAGTCACTTCAATCTCAATCTTCATTTCCTCCTTCATTAACGCGGACTGGATCATCATGGCCGCAGGCTTGACATCTCCAAACCACTTCCTCAACACCGGCCAGGTCTTGGGGAAGTCGTCACGATCCGGCAAGATGTATTGGACGCGAACGACGTCCGCCATGCAAGAACCAGCCTCCATCAATGCCTTGTCGACATTGCACAGGGTTTGCTCCGCTTGCTCTGCCACATTGTCTGATATTTCGCCCGTTTGGTAGTTGTACCTTGACGAGAGTCATCAGTTGTTAAAAACGGTGAAACATGTAAACTATTAGTTCGAATCGTCTGCAGACCTACCCGGTGGTTCCGGATACCATTACCCAGTCATCTACGACGACAGCACGGGAGTATCCAATCTCGGCCTCGAACGCCGAGCCAGAGCTGATATTCGTACGAGACATGGTTGAAGCTCTGATATTGTTGGTCTGGATGTGCAGGGTAGCGTGGGGTGCGAGAGGGCGGGTACTGGGCAGAGGGCTGGCACAAGATGCATGTAGAGCACCAAGGTGATGCCTCGATTCCAAAGGGCGTCTGGTATATTAAAATAAAACTGGCGGTAAACTAGCATTTCGATTGGATGAGTCATTTAGAACCGCGAATATCCCGTTCTAAGCCTGTCGGCCGTCGTCGAGCTTGGTGGGGCAGCTGCGAACAAAAGGCCGTTATGCTCGTCGATTGCGTGGTCGCGTTTGTGTTGAATAAACAATACGCACTTCTGGTAAATAATTGGACCAACAATCAATATTGCACGGTATAGAGCTGAAGCTCGAGCCCTAGACGTTGTTTTCTTGACACCTCGGTTTCGTTTTGCCGCTGTTCCAATGTCAAGCAGTGATGGCTGTCCGTTGACTTTTGTCCTCTCCAGGTGCTGCTCGTCTCCACGGGTTGTAGTAGTACATGACCTAAGTACAGCATATACTTTGATTGCCCATCACCGAGTTCCAAGAAATGTCTGTATATGATCAGGTGATCTGCTTGCTAGGCCGTGGGGAGAGTGAGATTCGTGGTATCGATTGCCGCTAAAAGCTGTTGTACACTGATATAATACAATACACAGGATGGCATGTCCCGTCCTCTACTGGCTCGCCAACTCTTTGACCATATTGGCAACAACTTTCTTGTCCACATCCTTGCCCTCCAAAGCACCAGACAAGCGCTTCATCACGTCGCCAATGAGGGACTTTGTAGCCGTCCCTGCGCTCTTGGAAGCGTCAACTGCTTCCTGTATCAAGGCCTTTAGCTCGGCTTCTCCCAGAGTTTGAACACCACTGCCGGCCAGGTACTCATCCAGAATACGGATCTGTACGTTCTCCTTCTCGACGAGATCCTCGCGGCCTGCGGTCTTGGCATCAGCCGCGGCATCTTGGGCACTCTTCTGAATGCGTCGCATTAGGGCAACGAGCTGCACATCGGTCCGAATCGGGCTGGAGGTCTTGGAGGCGTTGAGGTTGGCAGACATGATTGATCGCAACACGGATAGCCGTGGAGCGTCCTTGGCTCGCATGGCGGCCTTGAGGTCTCCCTTGAGCTTCTGCAAGAAGGGTGGAGGAGCATCCTCAGTGGTCGTCGAGAATGCTCGGTGAGTTCGCTGCATGAAGACTGACGGCATGCTCCTACTAGTACGTGGCATGCGGGCTGGCTGTGCCCAGCGCACCGCTGAGAGAAGAGACATTGCTCGGTTGGATGCCATTGTACTCAGCCCAATTGAGCACTCAATTGACGTGGTAGTTCTGGTTGGTAGCGCCGTTGATGAAGCCAAGGTCGATCCGCAATATCTTGTGGAAACAAAGCTCAACACAGACCACGGGCAGCTTTTTTTTGTTTGTCAGATCCAGAACAGTGAGAGGCGAGAGGTTCAAGTGTCAAAGACCACCAGCTATTGGCTGGCTGCAGGTGCGCCGTCAATCAGTGGATACACCCACCAGACGGTACCTGTCGCTCAATGTTAGCTTCGAGGTTACATACTTAAGTACATGTTCACGTACATTTATTACACACATGTACTCCGTAGGGAGACGTCTAATAGCTTCAATGTTAATAGAACTGGCTGGAGTACATGCTTACCATAATGTCTCAAGATGTTGGACCAGTCTCTGACCCGCTGAATGTTGAAGTCAACTTTACGCACCGATATGCCCAGACGTCGAGAAATTTGTTCTCCGGTATTTAGGCAGCCATAATCGTCCAGGACTCCAGTTGTCTCCTTTCTCATTACACCCAGCCATGGGCATGCGCTGAAGCTGCAAACATCACTGGCTGGGTGGACGATGAGCTGCATATCGATCTATCTATGCGCGCTAAGCCCGGGCATCCTTTCATATATCACCAGAAATGATGCCATGATGTCGCAAAATCTGCCTGAGAATCGACGCTCTATCAAGTGGCTACAATGCTTCCCGTCCATCGCATCTCGACGACCCGCTGTGGCTTGAGGATCGGCGCTGTCGCGCTATCACCTGATCCCCGCCTGGCAGCAACAACCGGAACCAAGTTTCAAATTACAACTTCTCAGCCGGTGACGCAGATTCCGGTATTATTTGTTTGAATGGCTTGCCATAGAAGCCTCTGCTCCGCCTGCTCACTCGGCAAAATATTGGTGACACCATGTACTAATCGGGAGTTCCATGTAGTTGCGCTGCTGTTGCCAACCAGGATGGGAGCACTCCGTAGCCCGCCGTAGGAATGACCCTTGGTGTACTGATAGATAGAAATAGATACGTTTGTCCCTTAGCATGAGGACCACGTCTCTCAATATTGGAGAGAACATCGACAGATAAGTAGAAGTTACACCGCCCCTGGCCGAACTTGGCTTGGAGCTTCGGACGAGAAGCGGGACGCCCATGTCCGCCGGTCTGCAAAGCATTGAAACAGTTTAGCCGTCGTTAAACGTCGCTAACAGCGTGGGCATGGGGAGCCAGGGGAGGAGGAGCTGAGAGGAAGGGCGAGGCAAGCAGTCCCCAAGAAGACGAATACCAGCGCGAAGCCGAAAATCCGACTTGGCTGGCTGGCATGGCGTACTGGTGCCCAACATGTCTCCCGTCGCCCATCCACGGAGATGAGAGACATGTTGGGTAAGCCATGGCTCGGGTTTTGATTCGACTCGCCCTCACCATGGTTTCGTTGCAATCACCAGTTTCTGGCTTGTCGGTACTGGTGTGCCCACCCCATAGGAACGCCTAAACAGGCTAAAATAAACGTGGGCGCATCCGCTGTTGTTTGTGTAGCTAATTTCTCTACACCATCTTGAGCTAACTCGGCGACGACATGGCATAAGGATGCCATGCCAACGCTTGGTGTGATGACAAGGACGCAACTTTAGAAGTTGACCCCCGCAGCGTCTAAAGCTGCCATTTCGGCCATTCCATGTCCAACCTCCAAGGCCCAACATTGAAATCGCCTGAGCGCCTGGTCGCACCTGCCTGTGTCGCGGAATGCCGTGCCTGCTAGTTCGGAAAGCTCGAGCGCGGACGACGACCGTTGACTCCCTTCAGCACTGAACACTCCACCATGACATCTGCTTTGCAATACCATCCTCTTCTCTCGATATTTGAAACTTGTTTTTGACCAGTACCTCCACTGCCTGCTCCTTGCCGTCTTTGCTGACCACCAGGGGCTGAAGCTGGAGGCCGTTCAAAACGAAATACTAGCAGGAGGTACATGATGGGACTGCCAGGGCCGCGGCATGGGCCATGGGCCTGGCCTAATACCTCGAGTTCACTATTACTTGCGAAGGTAGGTAGTCAAACAGTCCATGACTCAAGTATCCTTGGACCGAGGCCCTGGCCATGGCCTTACGCTTCAGGCTTACGGCCAATGCAAACGTATCTGAGTAATAATGTAAGCAGGCTGTCCTCTGTACTTGTCTCTAGTTGGTGTCTGGTATGATTATTGTGAACGACACTTACAACGGAAAATAGGCCTGTTCGGACTCATGTTAGCCTTTGCCAGACGACATTTGACGCCCCTCGACTTCATACCTTGTACAGCGGATTAGCTGCCTCTTCTCTTGCGTCCTTTATTAAACTCATGAAGGGGTCCAACGGCACTCTGGGAGCTACCAGTTAACTCCGGGTTTCAAGCCATGAGAAGTCTGCTTACTTTTGCAATTTTGTAAATGGATACAAGGCCAATGAATGCAGTAATTGGGCAATGTTCTCAGCATTAGCGGACCCTATGTCACGATTTCTTTCATCTGACGAAGAGGCACCTCAGCTGTGAGCCCTGTTTCATCGAATTTGCGGACCACGTACCAGCTGGCCAAGGACACATGGGCAACATTAGCAACCGCGATTCAACGTCCGTGAAACCCACGTTCGTCATCCGATGTTTTAGCTGGAGAGCTGCTCTGGTGTCTTTCATAGGATGCATTGCATCAAGATACAGACAAGACCATATGGATAGTGCGTGGGCTGCCTCCTCAACTGTTAACTCCTAGCTCAAATTTGGGAGATGCGGCATCACTCGCCTCTGTGCAAAGTTCCGTTGTCTGATTGAGCATTGAAGTATATTTCCACCATCTGACACCAACCTCCAGGACGAAGAACACGAAAGATGTCTTGGATGTAGCCGTGCCAACGGCTTGCGTTAATGCCACCAGACATCATTTGGCTATGGACTACATCGAACTGTCCCGGGGAGAAGGTAAACCTGGTGAGGTCAAGACAGTTAGTCGCGGGCAGTCTATTTCTGACAACAGTTTCTCTGACCTCGCGTTCAGGTCGTCAATTTGGAAAACTAGATTCTCTGGCTGGTCTTCAGGTATCATATTGGGGCAGATATCAACGCCAATCACCTAAAGAGACGCGGTCAGCTAAGCAGTATAGCCGCTGAAGCACCTTTCTCGACGACTTGACGTGTGGAACAAACAGGTTCCACGTATTCCCTTTTGCCGAATTCCATGTCTAGCGATGGGCTGCGGTGTGCTGTCGTACCTCACAGTCCGGATAGGCTCTGGCAACATCGAGAGCCCAGTCACCGGCCCCAAAGCCACAATCGAGGATCCGTTTCGGCTCGTTCACGGGTGGGAAGATAAGTCTACCATCGAAAAGTCGACAGAGAACAGAGTGCATTAACTCGAGATGTGCGACCTCTTCCTATATCCCAATATTAGAACGCAATGGTTCCCAGTCTTTTGGTCGTGGATAAACGGAAAGCACATACCTCGTCGACTGGGCCAAAATATACGCCATTAGTCACAGCGTGCCTTTGATACGATCGACCGTGATGCTCCAACGTTTCCTCAAACGATTTGTCCAGAGGGACGGTCCCATCTCTTCTCGGACGGTTAGTGCCAACTTGCCAAGCCCGAATTTGGTGTTCATGATATCCCTTACTCGGTGTCCATATTTTGGTTTGATGGATACAAACAAGTATTGCTTCTGGGTAATGCGTTGTGGACATGAACAGATATTCCGTGGGTAGGGAGATGCAAGAGTTATCACTAGTCTCACGCGAAAGAGGCAGTCATGTGGTATGCGAAAGAACAATCCCGGTCCGCCTGTCAGGTTTTCCAACCACAATACAAGCCTACAGCGTCGTATGACTTGCCACAGAAGCTAGAAAATCGACGCCCGATAATATTTTCTCTGAAGGAATGAAGGAAGGCCTGGAATATTTGCCTCCGGCATGTGTTCGACATTGGAAGACTCAATAGAGAGCTGAGACATTGGGAAAGATCTGCTTCATCAACTGCGTGGCCCAGTCCTTCCATTTACAAACCTCAACGCAGCCAGCTATTGTTTGTGCCACCCAATCAACCATAAGAGCCCACCAACGTCCAGGGGTGGGTTCAGATGGAGGGCAGAGACGCAAACCCGACTTTTGTCTATTATTATGACGCACGATGGATCCGCAGGGTCCAGATTCAACGAGGAGCAACGAACATGATCTCAAACCACACCGTTGCGGAAGCCTAATGGGAGGACAAAATCGCTCGCAACCAATTGTGCTGTCTGGACCCAAGGTGACTGTGAAGGGCTTGTGCTCTTGTGAACCATGATGCTGTTATACTCAATGGCATAGAGTGCCAGTGTCGTGGGAGGGGAATGTTTTATTTCGCCATCTCCCCCACAAGCTGGCTCAATGCTTTTTCACGATCGTCTACGTGGATAGGCCAAGAAATGAGACTTTACAGCCTGGCGACTTTCTCGTGCTGGGCCAGAACAACGGTACTAGGCAGTCGTGCTTGTCTAATGTTCAGAAGGAGAGCATAGCCGAGAACGCTCCTTAGGAAAGCTGCCACATTCTCTATGAAGTGTCATCGGGGGTGTACTTGAAAGCCGAATGTTCGTTGATGGTGGCATCGGTACTCGTCGAGGCTTGCAAGGACCGACATTGCCCTGGCCGGGCGCTTCGCAGCGCTTTAATTTATCCCCTGTGGACATGGAGGCCGTTATGCCCTAGGCCTGAGAATTATCCATCCTCCAGCGCAGTGACGTTACTTGCAGAAAGCGGGCTTTGAACGGAAAAGGTCAAGTACCTCGATCTCTTGACATGGCCCCAGAAACTTCCAGACTGGCTGCGGAAGGCAACTACAAATCAGACAGCTTTCAACTGCACAATATGGCCTTACCACCTGTCCCAAAGCCTGTCTGTATCTCTTGAAGTCTTGAACCTACGGCCGCTGAGCCTCGAGTGGCGACCTAGTGAAGAAAGAATTACCGAAGAAATGAATGAGCAGGTCAATCCTAGGCCTTGGACGTGCGTTCCGAGGCTTCATGGCACCCACTCTAGTGGACCTCAAATGTTACTTACTCAATACCAAAGCACGGGAGATCTTGCCAAGCAACCAAGCTATCTGCCCAACCCGAACGCCACCAGGCATACTTCCCGCTGTATGTAAGAACTGATCCCTCACATATTTGTGGACTGAAACATGAACTACGGAACCGAACCTAAAAGAGCAGGAGAAAATCAGATCATTATCTTCAATGGGCAAGTGATTTTTCACCCGGTGAACAAACCGAGCTGGTCGAAACCGTGTAAAATGACAAGGCAGATACGGAGTAGACTCCGCCAAATAAGACAGGTCACCCACCAAAGCTCATTAGCCTCCGTGTCTCCCTACTGTACGTGGCTGATGTAGAACTACACAGAGACCCTGGATACACCGATAAAGACCACCTGAGAGACAAACAGACATCGACAAGGGTCGGGTACAATATAACGAAGCAGGTGTGGGCAGTGTGGGCACTCGGAACCCCCTCGCAGTTGGGAATGTGCCAGGAGTAATACGGAGTACGTACCGGAATAATAATCTACGAAATGGGAGACTGAATTTAACCCTGAGCACCGGGGAGCCATGCACCAGAAAGCTGCACATTTGCGCTTCCTCACTTGTACATATATGAATCAGCAATCGGCCCCGGACAAAACAGCACAAAGCCTTCCGGGTTAATAATGAGAACTATCTCCAATGAGGAAATGTCTCGCTTGAGCGGATTGGCTACGTGTTACTCAATTCAGTGGCGTTGGTTGCGAAAGGTGCCATGGTTGATGACCATCCTAAAATGGCGGTCTTCCTACACACAGGGCTATGCTGAACAGGCACATTTGCCAAGAACCTATCTACAGAGTATTGTTTAGATGGTCTGAATCAACCATGAACAACTAAACTACGTGCACAATAGCGACCGCTTCAACCACCTATCTGTACCAGATAGTAAGTACACTGCATGCTCTCTCTATGTATGCCCCCCTGCAGGGCTCAAGTGAATTGTTAAATATGGGGTCAACTGGAGAGGGATTTTGGAACCGACTGATTTTCGTCGAACCGAGACTGAGAAACTCTGGGAACGAGCCAAGATATTTCGGACAGGTGGAATTCGCCATGCGGCAAGATTTGGCCCGAGGGCCAGGCCCTTGTCACCACGCTTTGCTGGCTTTGAATTTTGCTATGACACCGCGGTTTCGAGGACGGACCGGCGCGAGCCATGCCTCGCAGGGGGCCTATCCTTGCGCAAGCAAGCCCTTTTGCCGAACCAAGCCCTCGGGTTTGGCGTATCGCGTGGGGGACCAGCTCCTCGGGTTTTAGGCAAGTCTAGTTTGCGTCATGGTATTGGGATCCTACTCTTTGGGCTGAGACATGTTACTGTAGTGTTCTGGCCCATCAAAAATTGCTGATCCAAGTTTTCTTGTGCAATTGAGCAACGATGCTCTCGGGGCTACGGAGTGGAAACCTCAAAGGCTTGTGCTACCGTGGCCAAGCACAGGGGTTTGAAGGGTGTCATTTCGGGAATTGGTGTCAGATTTTTGAACATAGTCTATAACCAAGTCTATCGTATCCATGCTGTACTACATAAGTGTTGACCACTCTGTTGCTGAAGCCCCGTACATCCCACCAAAAGAGTCTGATTCCGCATACGCAGTTATTTTGCACCCCTCTCAAGCCCAGATTTGCAAGCGCCGTACGGAGTAGGGAATACTGAATAATGACGGGAGAATGAGGTGTAAAAAGAGGGGGAAAGAAAATTGCTATGTCTATAATTACATCATTGTATAACATGACCAGTCACAAATCAGGCCGACACGACTGGATCAGGTACCAACGGAGCGATTGGCCGGCTTTTTGAGCCAAGACTCCTGTCATAAAGTAACGAGCGTTCAAGCGGGACAGGTGCCCTGTTCAAGCACCAGCTCGAACTGGCCAACTTTTGCCTGCGTACGGCGTAATAGTCCACTTGGCTAGGCCCGACACTGAAGTAACATGGTCCCTGTAGCAGATGTTTGTGGCTGTTGCGCCGCCAAACACGAGGGCGGGTTTCGGCCTGTCAGTGGATCTGAGCTTGACCATCTGAGCTTAACAGACATGCAGCTGCCAAAAAACGGGCGAGTTTTCTCCCCCAAATTATATGGCGCTGGCCTCGATCAGCACCAGGTGAAGACAGGGTTTCTGCTCTTGACGGCTTCAAGCCGCTCCACGATGACCTTGCGCTGGTTGCCCATTTGTCCTTCTGCTGCCGCATAACCCAAGTCCCCATCGGGGTCGTCACCGTCGTACGAATCATGCGAGTCGCCGTACAGCTGTTGGGCTATGGTGTTACTATTCCGCCTTGCAGCTGCCGGTGAAGCGAACGAGTATCTCCGCTGTTGGTAGGGCCCGTGGCGAGCTGGCTCGTAGACGTTTAGTGAGCGGGATCCTGCCTGGTTCCCAAATGGATTCCTGTCGGGCCCGTTCATGGATCGTCTCTCGTCGGGTGACCGGGCACCGTCATCGTTGGGGCTGGAAATTTCGTCGAATCGGCCAGAACGTGGCATGTCCACCGGGGCGCTCTGTAGTCCAAGGAGGTCGGCCGACGAGTCTTGATTGACTGGTACAGAGCTAGCGATGTCGGCCTCGTCCATAGATTGACGAACGTTGGAGTTGCGCCGCAGCTCAGAAGATGTCACCCGCATAGGGACTGCAACTGGCACGTCGACCAAATCATCCCAGACGCATACTTTGGTTCGACGAGTGAGCTCGAGAGGACCGTGGTCTGGGGTTTTGAGTGCCTCCACAACATTCCAAGCCTGGCCCTTCATGACGGCGATTTGCTTGGCAAACATGCGCTCCTGGAAATCTTCATCCACCTGGAAGACTCGCTTGAGCGCCATTTGTGTTTGAGCCCACCAGGCTGTAGAAGTGAGGAGCGGAAGGAAGTGATCTCTGGTCCTTTGTGAAAATGGCCGACCAATGAGGTCTACAGGAAGGAAAAGCCAGCCAAATGGGAAACTAATAAAACATGCTGTTAGTGACTGTTGTGTTATGAGGCATTTTGAAAAATGATCTGCCAGGTGTAGACTTACCTCCGCCATGCATCAGGATGTTTCCAAGGCCACGAAAGCGAATTGTCAATGGCACCGACGTGCATGGCTGGATCCTTTGATGCCAATTTGTTGCTCGAAGCATTCATGGGCCTCTGGCTCCTATAAGGGTACGATGCCCTGGTAGCAGACTGCGGCATTTGCTCTAGATCAACGGGTCGGGGAGCGTTCTCGTGGTCGTCCTGTGGTGTTTCCATGTTCAGGTGTACAGGGTCCGAAGCCACAGACACCGTGCCCGTCTCCCAGTCAACTTTGACCATCCAGTTGTCGAGCCCACGATCCGTGTTTCTCATGATATAGTCCAAGATGACAAGCTTCTCAAGTTCCTCCCTGAAGGACTGCTTAATTTGCTCCGTCCACGTAAACCGCGGCGGACTGGCAGGCCCGTCAGCATCCTCTGGCGATTCTTCGTCGCTGGAATCGGCATCTTCCGGTGACCCAGATGTAGATGGACGGCAGCTTTCTGTCCATCTCTTCCTGCGACTCCTATGCGTATCGTTTGCCCGGAAACCGGACCAATATTGGTCTGGCCAGGGGTGCTCCCGCAGAAAGACGTTTGCATCTTTGAAGCCCTTGAGGAAGACTTGAAAACTACCAGGCTTTGCAGGCAGCGGCTTCTTCTTTCGATAGAAGCTGCGTCGGTCCCAGAAAGGGTAGTGGAATGATTTTGACGATAACCAGACAACATCTGTGTAGGGAACGAGGTGGGTGCGGAGTTGGCAGTCGAGTACGTAGGCTGCCGCCTCACTGACATACGACAGATTGGGAATAAGACTGCGGGTGACGGGGTTAGTTAGTTGCAACCAAAGATTCATATGTTGTAGATTCAAGACGTACCAAGCTCGCCCAAAGCAGCAAGGAAAGAGGTTTCTATGAATCCATTTGTTCCATTTCGGATTACCGGCGGCATACGGCTCCTCATCCTTTGGCTTAAACACGCCGACAATCTTGCCATCCGGATTCCTTGCAAAATAACTACCAGAGCTCCCTTGTGAAATCATGCTCGGGTGGACCTCTTGTCGAATGGCAAGGCGCACACTTTCCACAATGGCTTCGAACTCGGCCTTGGTCATGACGCCAGGTTGGTCTTCGGCCAGTCCCTCTGCCGTAACGGGCCGCACTCCCTCTGGAGGCTGGAAGACGGAGTGGTGAATCTCAAGTCTTTCCTCCTCGCCCGAAATACCTCTGCCCTTCCCGCGCTTGAATCGAGAGGCAATTTCGTCGGCCCATCGTTCCAACCTTGCATTGATGGCCTTAAGATCGACGCCACCATGAGACCCCCCTCGTCTTCGAAACTTCGGCCGTTGGTTGGCCTTGGGGCTCATCATGCCGGAGCGATGGCGAGGCTGTGTGATGGCTGCGAAGCGCGGCGCAGAGGCCGGCTGCAAGGAGGCAGAGGAGGCGGCGAGGAGATCATCGTCCGAGTCGTCACTGAATTGGTCTGCTTGGGCCAGGCGCTCGTAGCCCGTGGTGGGAGGTCGATCCCGCGGCATGGTTTAGCTGGATGTCGAAGTTGGGCAAGCAGCCATCACGATGGGGAGAGGGCACGACTGTGTGACGAATGTCTCCTGGACACAAAGGGCTGTGTGCTTCTAGAGTCAAGTCTTTTTCAGTGACGTGTATCGATTGTAGGATCTCGGAGGTCGGATTTTGAAAGTTGATTCGGTGGATGCAAGCTAGGTAGGGGTTGAAGCCAACTTGGGCCTTCGAGCTGTGTGGCAATGGACGGCACCCAAGAAAGGAGATGATGTGTGCGTAGATGGACGTGCTCGATCTTCAGCAGCTCAATGGAGACACAAGTTGCGAATTGCCCTTTTCGGCCGGACGCCTCAGCCGACCAGATACACAGACTCTTTGATGGGCAAGCTGCTCTTTGAAAAGGAGTGGAACGGTACGGAGTAATGAGTGCTGATTAAATGTTGCCTTGTTCAATGTGTCAAGTCGCGCCCAGCTTGTGATGACCAACGGACCTTCGGAATACGTACATACTAGTACTACGAGCGACTGGGATTCGCGGCATTATGCCCAAAGAAGCTTAGTGTATCGTGGCACCACGAGGCCCTGGCTGTGGCTGGTTGCCCTGAGTGTGGCTTTGGCTGTGGCTCTGGATGCAGTTCCAGACTCGTTTGCTCATTCACACCTTGCACAGCATATCCAACCGTGGGCATTTTCGTGCGTCTTTCGTCTCTTCGGGCCATTTATGTATGCCATTCCCGGCACCGGGCGGCAGACGATGTTGCGTCACCAGAGTTACAGTGTCGCTGAATGCGATCAATAACACAGTTGGTGGTAAGAGCTGCCGTTGTCATGGGCTGTATTCTGCATCCTTTGTGTGTCTGACCGGAAAGGTTCGAGTTCTCAGCGGAACGGATACAAAGGAGGGGGTGGGATGGACTCCAATCCCTTCTCCATGTTGAAATTTTGATTCAAGCTGATGTTTAGAGCAAACCAACTTCATCCCTTGTCATAACATAGCTTGTGGTCGCGTTCATAGCAATGGTGTCGTTACGAAAGATATCAATATTAATCTTCCTTGCCACCTCCTCACAAACGTCTCAAACACTTGTGCTTGAAAGTAACAACTACCACACATCATGTCGCTGTCGTCCCCACGAAAAGTGCTGGCCTTCAAAACATCAATGGAGCACCCTGAATTCCACCATCCAAGGTAACTTGCAAGCTGTTCGCCCCGTCGCAGCGCCCTGCTTCAACCCATCATCTCCCCTCGCTACGTCGTGTGCCGTGGCGAAACAAAACGCCAACAACTCTGTCTGGCGGTCGGCTCAACCTGGTGCTGTCCAATGGGAAAATTGGGAAGCATGGCCGGAAAAAGACCAATCCTGCTATTTTGATCAGCCCAAAAATATCCCCTGTGGGCAAGGCCGCATATCGTTGTACTCGGCCGTCGTGGAGAGGGCAGAACATATACAGGCCGCTGTTCGCTTTGCAGCCAAGTATAACCTTCGGTTGGCCATCAAGAACTCTGGCCACTGCTTCCTGGGCCGCTCTACTGCGCCGGAGTCGCTCCAGATATCGACCAATAAGATAAAGAGCATGGCCTTTACAGACAGGTTTGTTCCAGAGGGCGCGGCTGGTAGTACTTCCGAGTCGTTTGGTTCTGCCGTGACGATTGGCGCCGGAGTCCAACTAAAGGAACTGTACGTGGCAGCTACGAAGCATAATGTCACCGTGGTTGCTGGGCTAGCACGTACTATTGGTGCTGCTGGTGGTTATATCCAGGGCGGAGGCCATTCGCCATTGGGCAACTGGAAGGGTATGGCGTCTGATAATGCGTTGGAGTTCAAGGTTGTCAATGCCAAGGTAGGATTTCTAACCTCCCAACGGCCACAGAGTCTAATATACTAAAACATCTTCCGCCTCACTTCACAAGGGCGAACTAGTCACGGCCAACAGCTACAAGAACCAAGACCTCTTCTGGGCTCTGCGCGGCGGCGGCGGCGGCACATTCGGCGTCGTCATCAGCGTCACCATCCGCACATTCCCAGATGTGCCCTCTGGTTTTGTGAGCTTCGGCTTCGGTACGCTGGCAGCCAACTCATCCGCATATTGGGACATGGTGAGAGCCTTCCACGCCCATCTCCCATCTGTATCGGGGGCCGGAGGGGCAGGATACTACGCAATCAGCTTCGTACCAAGCGACATCAACGGAACCAAGGTGCTCGAATTGACAGGAGGCTTCGGGTTTCTCAACGTGACAAGCGAAGAAGCCATTCGAAAGGCCGTAGCCCCAATGATGGCAGAGGTGAATAGGTACGCCGGCCGTGTATCCGGGTACAACATCTCCATCAACCCCCGAGTATCAGATTACATCCTTGGCCTACTCCGCGGCGAGGCTGACGACACCGGCGGCATTGCGGTATACGGTTCACGTATGATCTCGCGAGATTTTCTCCTCTCCCGAGACGGTGCTGCTCGTCTCACGGATGCCCTTCGGGATATCGCAGAGATATCACCCACAGGATTTATAGGGATTGTCGTTGCCGGCGGAGCGGCTGCCGATCCTACCATTGACTCGGCTCTCAATCCCGCCTGGCGGAAGACACTGACTCATATAGCCTTTGGAGCAGGCTGGAACAGCACCACTCCTGTGAAGGAAATAAGGGCTATTCAGGAGGAGCTGACCAATATCAAGATGGAAAAGCTGCGGGTTTTGGAGCCGCATATGGGCGCGTACCTCAACGAGGCGGATCCGAATGAAAAGGACTTTCAGAAGTCCTTCTGGGGGGCGAATTATGCCAGGCTGTACAAGGTGAAGCAGGCCGTGGACCCGGATAATCTATTCATTGCGCGCAAGGGAGTAGGCAGCGAGAATTGGGACGATGCCGGTCTGTGTAGGAGGGCGAGCAAGATGGGCGTTGACATGCCAATTGAGAGCTTGTTGACAAAACGGGCTTGGATGCCGAAAGACTCACCCTCGGCAGATGACTGAAATTTATGCAATTTTCTTTAGACAATTGCAAGTCGGAGGTAGTTGGCAATGTTGAGCCCATCGCGCAGCCGGCAAGCTCGGCTTTTGATACTTTTGAATCCCGTTTCGATGTGACCTGGTGACCTGGCACAAGAACTCGCAACGTCTGTTCCTAGAGAGATGGAACCAACCGCATCTACAGCGGATTAGCCTATCCTGCCTCAAAGGGAAATCAAATGCACGTCGTCTAGTAACAGTCAGACTCGCCCGGCAGGCATCCATCGACTTCGACTCAGCCGGAGAACCGGGCATCAGCAAGCCCACACGCTAAATGCAGGTGCAAATCCGCCGATGAGTCAATCGGCATGGGGTGAGCTCAACCGTGCCTGGTAACAAACTCCAAGGGTCCATACATATGTCCCTTTTTTTTGGTCACCAATGCCGAGTTTCGTCAGCGGCCACCGGAGCCTGGAGCCAATTCCGCCTGCGATACCCTCCACCCAAGCCTACAATATATATACCTCTAAATCAGCCCGAAACAGCCAGTCAAGACGCCGTCGCCGTTGCAAATAAACAGCACTCAACCCAAGCTCGCCAATTGGGATCCAACTAATTTCCCCTATTCCAGCCCAAGGCCTCCCCATCATTCACCACCATGCCCGTCACAATTGACTCCAGCTCCACGTACGCCGTAGACTACTCGACGGCCGACGTAGTCAACGCCTGGCGCACCGCGCGCCTGGAGTTTATCAAAATCGACAAGAGGGACCAAAACATCAAAGACTTCCTCCCGCAGACCGAGCAGGACCCCGTGGTGCTGTCTCTCGCGTCCAGCCAAGTCCTCGCGCCCACGGGCCAGTCAGATCTCGATGAGAGCCTCGACGCCCTCAGCAAGGCTCTCCTCGGCGTGGCCATTTGTCTTGGCCCATCGGAACGGGAGGACCAGCAACTGCCGTCAGAAAAGGACAAGAAGGAGAAGGAGAAGCCTACCATCATCGGAACCATGTGTCTCGGCTGGGGGGGTATTAGCTCCCGAAATGCGCATCATCGCTCGGCGCATATGGGCATCGTGATTGGCAAGGCCTATCAGAACAAAGGGTACGGGAGGGAGGCGATCAATTGGATGGTTGACTGGGCGTTTAAGCATGCGGGTTTGCATACCGTGTGCATGGTTGCTGCAAGCTACAACCAGAGGGGCATTCATTTGTATCAGGACATCGGCTTCAGGTTGGAGGGACGCCGGAGGGAGGTGTGCTACTTTAATCGGGCGTGGCATGACGAGCTGGACTTTGGCATGACGGAGCACGAGTGGGAGAAGTTGAGGGGAGCGTCTTCCTAGCGGACTCCAAGGGGGGTATGAGGCAAGGGAAAGGGAAGAGGAGAACAAAAAGGCGGGAGAAGCTTGGATAGGACGATTCTTCTGTAGTTGCAAGCATGGCATGGCGTTCTGGGATACACCGCCATCCTAGGTCCATTACTGGTATGGCGCAGGAAGCATGATATCGCTCAGCATATAGAAATCAGATGGAGCTTCATTCTACGGAGCATTCCCTCTTAACTTGTGCCTGGTTCAGTACTCGCGTGACATGGTCGTTCAGGTGTCCCATGAGGCCATGTTTTACGAACTGTTCAGATGTAATACACACACACACACACATATATATATAATATGAGGCACCTTTGAGCTCTAGAAGCAAGTGCAATATACTCCGAGACAAGACTCATAAACTTGACGTCTCAGGACAAAATGGTGATATCCATCTGTCCACCTGGATCTCTGCTGCATGAATTCTGAACAAGGGTGTATTGTCCCGAAAGGCCGAAGAAGGCATCCCATGCAAAACGCAGTGTTTCCCAAATCAGTGTACAGAATAACTACATCTCACCTTCAAGAGACCCAAGTAGCACATACGAGATGAAATCTCGGAGCAATGGTTGGCGCACCGGGGGTCCCCTTCATGCTACGTGAAATGGTGGTTAGCAAGTGATTACTGCCGAGGCCAACAGCTAACGTGATGTGTGGTTCGGAGAAGGCAATATAAAGATGCAATGTCCATTTAGTGCGAACGACTGACGTTGATCGGCGCCAGACCTGTTTCTTGGACTGCATTGCAAAGCCCCCTTTGAGACCTGATGAGACAGGCGTGACGTAACTGAGAGAGGGCAGCCAATGAGTCCGAGCCTCGAGATGGGTGACACGAAGGAAAATATCTGTTGTGGCAATGCAACAGTCAAACCCGTGTTTAGTGAGTGCATGATACATGGGCAACATTGCGTTCCATGGGTTTAGATTGCGACTAGGCTGAATGACGGAGCCGTCAAACGGTGATTTTCACTCTTGCGTCGCCACTCTCCATAGACACATTGACACAATATCTTACAATGATGTGTCAAAGTGTCCGGTTTAGGCTCCCGAGTGAGTTTGGCCCCCAAAAGCATTGTCATGCTGGACCTGGGGCGATGACAACGGTGATACAACCGTCGACAGAGCGCGCGGCTTTACTCCAGTCAGGTACACCGCCAAACCGCCTGTTGTAGCCGTGGCATTGCGTATGTGACTAGAAACTTTTTGCATTCATGGTAACTACTTTGCGGAGTACGGGGTCGTCTGCACAATAAGTCATTCGTTATTCATGCGGCGGTACGACAAGACAACAAACAAACCCACCCACCGTTGAGGCCCAATCCGTAAAAAAAAAAAAAAAAAAGCGAAAAAGAAAAGACGGGAACAACGCACTGCCGCCAGAGAAACCAGATCGTCTGCCACAGGGTGAGCACACTTGGGAAAACGATGATTCCGTGGCTTTCGCCGGGGATCGAGCTTGTCCTCTGCGGCACACTAGAACTGGTAAACGGCCAGCCGCATCTCGATGGGCTCTCTCGCACCCCAATCTTTCCCTGTCTCTGCTTGGTTCTGGCAGGTGGTAGGCACGCAGACTAGTAGCAGCACGGAGTAGTAGTCGTCCCATGCGCCAGTCGAGTTGGATGGTGATGACTGGCGTTCTCGTGTAGGCATTTATTGGTATTGTAGGGGGGCGCATGGGCCTGACTGGGCCGGAGGGAAGAAAGAGTTGGGTGCATTTCTAATGCATGGCCAAAGCCAGGATCCACGGGAATGGTGCGGTGGCCGCGGAGGCGGATTGGCGGATTGGCTGCGGTAGCATGACATCAATGGAGCACCGGAGGCGGCGGCCCTGGCCCTTGGACTTGATTGGGACAATGCAGATTGAAAGAGTCCCGAGGTCCTGAGTCACCAAAACATTGAAGGCATCCACAGACTCGTGGTTGCCCAGTGCCTCCGCTTGACTGCTTGTGGCATATCAAACGCCCTAGCGCCATTCGTGTGGTGACAGTTTTCACCATCGGGTGCCGACATCAAGGTTTGGTGGCTTCTTCGCCCTACTCTTGGGGGGGTCTCAGGTGACCTTCCCCAGGTTGGGCCTTTGGTCTGTGCTGGCCGATGGAGCTCGCTTGAGGTCGGCTGGCGTCCGGCTGGTGCAATTGTGTCTAGCGCCAACCGTGGATTGAATTACTAGTTCTACTGCTAGTACTATTTGCATGGTAGCAAGATGCCGATGGCATGTAGGGAAGGAGGAAGTAGCGACGAGGAAGCAAGCACGACCAAGGGCAGTAGCAAGTACCAAGTACCGGGGAGAGCATGGATGAGACTCTACGGAGCAACCAGACTGAACAATTGTCTCTGGCTGCCCGGGCCAGGAACTCGCCGTCAATGCCCAGTACTCGCAAGACCAGAACCAGACGACTCACCCCTCCCAGACTTATTCTTTGTTCTTGTCTTGTATTTTATTAATTGCTTCCCCCTTGCTCATTACCCCTTCTCCCGTTCCCTGTCCTTCATTTCTACAGTATTCAAATTCTTCCTCGTGGCACTGACTGCCGGACGTCAACTACGCGGTGCCCGTGGTTGCATTCTTGCCGAAGCCACCATATATCAGGGACACACGACTGTTACCCTTCCCATCTACTACACCCTGCAATTCAAAGCCGCTATATTATCCTCTCTCAGTGCCTTTGACACGGCGGCACACGGGGAAACAATGTCTCCCCTCACTGATGCCGGCGATGTTCTCCGAGATGCCGCCCATCTCGCTGCGGACCAAGAGGTATCCAGGGGCCGCAAGAGGTCCCGAAGCACATCCAGAGCTGCAACCTCCAAGTCCCTAAGACCCGACGAGTCTAGCACACTTCGAGGACGATCACCACGTCGTGCTACGTCTCCATTCCCGCTGCCTTCTCGCAACACCTCGCCCTCTATCCTGAGGTCGCCTACAAGCCAAATCTTACTCTACAACCAACTTAGACGGGCTCGCCGGGAGCACTGTCCGTCCCGCACTGCCTCTCCCAGCGACCGAAGCTTCAGACGACGTCAGAGGACAAGAAGCCGAAGCCGAAGCCGAAGCAGAGGATCTCGACGGGACCACGAGCCTGTTCGGTCTCCCGATATCCTCTCTAGCTTGAGACACGAAGTCTTCTACGAACATGCCGATGGCACAGATAACAAAGCCCAGCCATGACTTTGCAAAAGAAAGAAAGAAAGAAAACTAGTGTCAACGTGGACTGACACGACTGCTTTGACTTGACAAGATTGTATCTTCTTGTACGATACGGAGGACTTTGTGTAGCACATGGCGCATCAAACACTAACAGCGGGTGGGAGATTGGTTGTTTGGGACAAAAGGAAAGCATGCTTGTGATGAGTGGCCTGCTTTTATTCTGTTTCTTAGCTTCTCATATGTACTTTTTGGCATACACGCAACGGAGTTGTAACGGGGAAACAGTAGTGTTTTTGGAACACTCAGCAGAGATGGCCGGGATTGCTGGGCGTTGACAATACTACGTAGCAGTTTTTTCTTCTTGTTCTTACAAAAATGATTACCTATGTAGTTTAGCTACAAAAGAAACAATTCAATCAGACTTTGGTAGTCCTTTTCCCATACGTATCCAAATTGCCAATCCAAAGCTGATCATGGCATCAGAATCTGCCTTATTTAAGCAATTACCACAAGCCAGTCATCAGTCCCACTCATCCCAATGCATAGCACCTTGTTGCCCGCTGTTGACACCTGAGGCGGCCCGCAGTTGCTCTCTTGCACGTGCTGAGCCAATGACTTGCAAGGCTGTCGGTTGCTGGCCGGTACGTACCCGTGGAGCCCTGATAGGAGCTTTAATATTCCAAGCCCGACAACTTTTTTGATCTTACGATTCTCCATGTCGAACCCGGTTGTCTTGCACAGCACCCATCTTACCACCTTTGCAGCTGCCGCATATACATGGCGCTGTATTGCTACGCTACATGAGACTTGGCTAGCATATACTCTCACTTGGATGATTGGATAGTCTCTTGGTCGCTGATTACTTTTGCCAACGACCGCCGTTTCCGCTTGACGATATCAACCCTGCGCCTCGGAACTTCAACCGCTTCTCAACACCGACCGTCCCTCTCACCGCACGTATGCCAACCGTACTATTATCAGCTTGGGCGTAGGTGTTGGCAACTCGTACGAGGCCCGATGCTAGAAAGAACAGCCGCCAGCCTGGAATCATGCAATCTCCAGCGCGTTTTTTCTAAGCCGGCTCGAGCCTCGAGACGGTGCAGGCAGCTCCATACGGGGTTTTGGCAGCATGGCGCTTCTGCAATTGAGCTATTCAGTATTTGGCCCGCTCCAATCAGAGGCGCCTCGGAAGAACATGAGACTGTTGATCCATCTACTCAACCTTTGCAGGCCGGGCTCTTGGCGTCGACATTTCTTCTTGACTTTCTGTACCCGAGCGGGACATATGCCTATCTAAGGCGTCTATACCCGTCGCTCCCGCGAACTCAAAACGAAAATAAGCCTACAGGAGCATCAAGGAGAAGAACATTTTCGTCAATGGTTGCTACAGAGGTGGACACAGGTGTTGCATTGTTTCGTTGCAGCGAGGGTCTCGGCCAGGTGGCCGACCAGCCTGGGGAATATATGCCACGGCCTGGCTCAGGCGCAGTCCGTACCCAGATCTCGGATACACCCAGAGAAAAAATACAGTCTACGAGCCACGGCTCTCGGCGAGAATCCGTCAAGGCGAACGACACTTCACGGTCGAGCCGCAAGGCACACCCCGAAACTCTAAAAGACTTGCTCAGCAGACCGGACGAGAAGAACTATCATGATGTATGGGATCTATATTGTAGGTTGGATGAAAGCCAGAAACAAGATTTACGGGCATTAGTCGTGATATATCTGTCTGCGTCCCATGGCTCTGTAGAGAGGGGCCGAGCCATCTCAATCCTTCGACAAATACCCGTCCAACTGTGGGACGAAAAGCTGCAAGCTGCAGGTGTTTTACTGTACCTTCATGCTGGAGATAGGACAGCAGCGATCGACGTATTCAATACCGGACTTGCGACAAAGTCTTCCGGCGCAGGATTCAAATCCATCTTGGAATATGCCATTATCAACAAAGAGTGGCCAATTGCTCTCAAGGTGTGGCTAGACTATAATTCACATTTCACGAGAAGTAACATGGCAACCTCGTCTATTTACGCCGACCTACCATTGCTAAAATTGGTTCCCGACTTGGCTAAACTATACTTTTCGTTTGAACATTACCTGGCAGTCGAGGCAGCTGATCCCGTCAAAGCCATTCATCTATACGAGGATACACGCCAGGGGCTTCGGGCACTCCGTCGCTGGTTGGCACAACAAGTTTTACGACAGCCATGTTCGCCCCGAGAGGCAAAGACGATTCTTCAAATATGGAACGACGAGACGTTATATAGGTCATATCTCCTTCGTATGCTGAGGCGGTGGAACGACGGGCTTGAAACCAGAGCAAGCCTGGCTATGCTCCCTGAGATTTATCGGCAATACCGCACGATGTACCACGCGAAACCACCTCGATTGTTACTACGACAAATGTTCAACTTTTATTATCCGGCAGATGCGGCTGGCTTGGCACAAATCTATTCCGACTGGCACCAAGCCTGGGGTGATCTTGATCAGTGGGGATATGAGAAGTTTTTACAATTTTATTCCACCACGGGGGATGTCCCAGCCGTCAAAGATCTGTGGGCAAGGTATACGAATCTCTTCCCGGAAGCTCCGAAGACACCTCAAGCTTTTCGAGGGCCTATGAACGTGTATGCACAGCTTGGCGATGTTGCGGGAGCCGAACGCGAGCTTCGAATTATGACTGACCAGTACGGGGTAAAGCCCGATATCGATACATGGAACATGCTTCTCAAATGCTATTCAAAGACGAACGATCACGCTCGTGTCCTTCAATGCTTCGAAGAGATCAAGAGGCTCCACCAGCCGGACTCCTTCACCTATGCACAAGTCATGGCAATGGCAGCCAAGAAAGGAGACCTTGCAACTACATTGGACTTCTACAACCAGTCCCAGAAAGCCGGTGTACACATATCAAGAGAGATGGCAATGGCTTTGGTCCTGGTTTACTGTCACAACGATCGCTTCATAGATGCCGAGAAAATTTGTGCCGAGTTTGCCGAGCGCAATTTAAGCAGCACGGCTGTTTGGAACCAACTGATTTACTTCAATGGCCTGCGAGGCAAACTGAACAAATGCTACAGCATCTTACAGTCCATGACAAAGTATGGTTTGGAGTGGGATCACCAAACCCACCAGTATCTTCTTCAGGCTCTGGTCCAAGTCAACCAAGTCCAACAGGCATATCGGCTGCTTCGAAATGCCTGCGATAATAGCCTCTTTCCTCTTGGTCCAGAGCACTTTGCAGTGGTCATGACTGGTGCCGTTCGTACGGGCCAACTGGATTTAGCGGAGACAATTTTATCGCACATGCGGTCTGCTGGCTTCACCGTGCCTCTCAGTGCGCATGTGTCTCTTCTTGAGGCTGCGTTCCGTCGAGGTCCGTCAGCGCAGAACACGAGAGCGTTGGCCAAAGATCTCGTGGAGCGCCTGTACTCGATGCTTCAACCCACGAAGACGGCAGTACCGAGCGGATGCCCAGATGTACCATCATGGGATACACTAACTGGGCCTGTTGAGTTGAAGAAGCAAACCAACGAGATTGGTCGAGCAATCGTGCTACTCGTAGAACTCAGGGATTTCGTGGCTGTTGAGCGGCTGGTGACGGCATACCTCGACGTGTTTCCAGATTTCAAGAAACAGAACTACTTTCCTCCCAACATTGCTTCTGCCTTGATGCTGGGCTATCTTAAGGAGGGGAGACGCGACCAAGTTCATAATATGTGGCGGCATACGCTGGATGCCGCTCTTGCCAGTGGTAAGACCCCCGAAGGCGCCATCTATCCTGCCCTTCAATACGATCTTGCACGACCGCTCAACGTTGTTGCCAAGGCCTACCGAGAGGTCAATGATGGTCCTGGTCTCCTCAACACAGTCGAACAACTCACAAGCGCCGGCTTCAAACTCACGAGAACAAACTGGAACCTCTGCATCCGCTACCTAGCCGAAATGGGCCTATGGGAGCGCGCAATGGACTGGTGTGAGGATTACCTCATGAGCCGCTGGCGAGGTTGGATGCCCGCTACCAAATCCCTCCAAGAACGACGAGACATGAAGAATACCCGTGTCCTCGCAGCCTCCAAAGCCACCGTCTTCAGTCTCCAAAAGGAATGGCTCAAGCTCCGCAAACTCGCCGCCTGGTCCGGTAGCATATCTTCCAAGCTCAAGGAAATCGAACGCCGTCACCCCATGCTACACCACGCCTTCATCACCACAGACTACGAACACCTACCTGCCACGTGGATGTTCCCAAGAAAGCAGAGCATGACAAAGGCTATAAAAGAGATGCTGAGCCCACTGTCCCATGATGAATTGAAAGCAATGAGAAAGGCTCTCGAAAAGAGGTTGCGGCTAGAAAAACAAAAGACGCGCAAAGCAGTGCGTTCTCCGTTTCATGTCGTTGTAGGACGGTCCAAGACGCAGGGCGAGGTTTTCACAAAGGCGTTCAAGACTGGCGATTTGAAGACCTTGGATGCCGTGTTGAAGGAGGAGCTTGCGGCCAATAGAGGGGAATCATCTACATCTGCCCAAGTACCTAGGTAGCTATATTGTCTTGTGGGCGTGTTGTATATTATCCGTGTATAAAAGTAAACCAATGTACATTAGTAGTAACCACGGCAGAGGGGACTGCCTCAATACATAATGCAGAACATGGCAACACCTGCAGAAGCACTTGCCATAATGAATGCTTCCATTGACGGACCGGTCTGGCAGCTATATGGCGCTAGTGTTGACAATCAATGTCCATGTAACTATTTGCATTTACGTACTTACGCATATACTAAAGGTATCCTATCCCAATGTGTGCCCTGGGGCGTGCTGTATTCAAACTTTTCAAAAGGGGTTTCCCGCCCGGTCCAAAGCCCAACAAGTCCCGCTAAAGCTGTCTATAATGAAGATATGTACGTAATCCCCCCCAAGTGCTCATTCGCCATTCCTTTTTTTGGTTTCCAAAATACAAAGTGCCCAAGCTGACTTCATGATACTCCTATGATTATAGATAAATTTGATGACGCCCAAGCATCATGCCAAGTCCTCGGCTGATTCTGGCGGCTGCGGCCTGTTTACGCCCAGCGAACGAAGTCGTTGCGATAATAAGCCTTCTGTTCCGCCCGGGGACCCGTTGCCGAAGAAGCCGAGGAATGGGGAGCCCCCGTAGCCGAAATCTCCCCTACTTAGCTTCTCGTACGGTGAACCAGTGTCGTCACCACTAGCATCCCAGACACCCAGTCCTGCTGAGTCCTTGGTAGATGGGCGGCTTGCTTGAGAAGATTCCGGCGAGCGTGGCCCAGCCGCTGGGTTGCTGGCCGAGTTGCTCGTGTCGCTGTCTCCTCGACCTTGAGAGGGTAGCCGAAAGGGGATGGGCTCGATGGGCAGGGTGTTTCCGCCACCACTAGAGTCAAAGCCGTCGACCATGTCGAACGCTCGGGACGAGGCTCCGCCGAAAGTAATTCCCAGACTCCGGCGTCGGAAGGCCTTGTCTGCTACTAACATGGAACCTGGCCCGGAAGACATGTTAAGCGGTGGATGCATAACTCTGATGGGTTTATATGGTGTAAACCTGGGCTCTGGCCATGTGGTTTCATTCCGGAGCTTTTCTTTCCCTTCAGGCACCCTGTTGGCAAATACGACGCGAATACTTTTGTACAAGTAAAATCGACTCTTGGAAGGGCAGCAAATATGCAAATGAACAAGATATCTGAGCATGGGGCGACTCTGCGCATCCGTTTCGCTGAGATTGGGAATATGGTCTATGATAGGTCCGGCAGAGTAACTACGCTGCCGGACAAATGTCTTGGTACCGGGTTCCATGCCAGTCAAGTCATACGGGACCAAGAATAATTTGACAGCCGTTTTGTTTTGGTTCTTGATGATGATTTGGATCTGCCCCTTTTCCGGAATACGGTAACTGCCCCCTGGAGGAGCCTTTGAGGAGCCTGTACGACGCCTTGGCCGAGATGTTCCCGGTCGATCATGGTCAAGCTCGAAATCAGGCATCAGGGTATCGACAGACTGATTGTTGATGGGCTGTCGGTCCAAATACCGTCCGTGCGCTTTTCTCTTAGACCTTGACTCCTCTTCTGAATTAGGTAAACCATTTTCCAGATCAATCTGACCAACGTACGGGCTTGGCCCATCGTCAGACCGAGATCTACCATGAGCCGTATTACTGTAGCTGTAGTATACAGCAGCGAAGGGAAGCGAAACGTGTGGTGGACAGCGGAGGCAGGATTTGCATCTCCCCTTGCCGAGAACTCCAATCTGAGCAGTGAAATCAAAAGGCTTTGACGGCGTTGTGGACATTCGACCACGTAGAATGCTTTCTTCGTATGAGCCAACCATGGATGCATGCTGGATTGGTGACGAATCCGGCCCGAAAGAGGGTCGTCTTGCACGGAATACTGCCGATGTCTGGGGGGGCGTTCCATGTAAAGCGAAAGTAGGAGTGGAAGTCAAAGATCTTCGAGGCTGATGGGCCTGCCAAGGCAGTGAACCATCTCGTCTGCCAAAAGATAACCTTGAACCACCCAGTGGAGAAGGCGAGGTAAACGGTGACGAACCGGCCGAGTTGAGTGCAGAGAGTCTCCGATTTAACTCCCTAGACGGCACATCGAGGCTCCTTGGGGCCATGGAGAAATCCAACTCATCATTACTTTCTGATTGTACTAGCGGACTCGTAGGCGGGTGGTAGGCGAAGCTCGACGAAAGAGATGCCGATAGCGGCGACGCAGTGACAGACCTGAAACTGCCAGCATCACTCTGGAACGGGATCCTCCGCTCAAAGTTGAATGGTGTGAAATCCCGGGGCGGTGAAGTTGCAATCCAGGATGATTCTGAGGCCAGCTGGCTCTCGACTCGCTGCCGGTTTAGAATACTCGATGGTCTGTCCTGTTCCGCTTGGTCATGTGTAAAATCCCCGCTGTGAAGGGCCGACCTTGGTCTTTCGATGTTCAAGCCGTCCTGCAGCCTATCTTGTACAGCATTCTCGGTCCCAGGGTCGACTTTCTCGGGGGTGATCTGGACCGGAGGTAAGAGTTTCGGTGACTCGGGCGAAGTACGTATGTGAGTAGGGCTATCGCGACGTTGGAGGATGGACTCAAGCTATCACGGGGGCATAGGTTAGATTTACGTCTTGGTTGTGAAAGTGCCATACAGTCAACAACTTACATGGCGGTTTGGGATCCAAGTCGGGCTCTCTCCCCTCTTCAGCCTTTCAATCAGCTCAGCTCGGCAAGAAATGGCAGCCTCCTCGTCTATCCTCGGTGTCGTTGGTCGTGTTGGATCATTGGGGACCGGCCCTTCACACAGCTCCGTGGGTAAGCTCTCTTCGGAAAGACGTCTCAGGACCGAAGACGTAGGTTCTCGTTGTAGCGGGCTCGGTCGGCCGGGATGACGATGGCGGTCGGGTTCGAGATCGTCCTGGAAAATAGGCATGTTGAATTCGAAACGGAAGAACCACAGCTCAGAACTGGGCTGTGGCTCTCCAATATATAACTGCACAAAACGGAGGGTTTGACGACAATACAACGCCTACAATTCCCACGACAAGGACGCTGCTGATCAAGGAAGCTTTCGGAGACGAATAAGCAGTGATATCAAGTTGCCGACCACAATGTACCGTATAGATGGGAGGCGGAAGGGACAATGGCCATGGGCACACGAGCCAACAAGACGGTTTCAGTTGCCGGCGGGATCCGAGGACAGAAGGTGGTCAAGGGTGACAAGATGCAAGTTCCAATCGAGTATTTGTAACAGGCCGGAAGATGGGTAATAACCGGACGAGCTTACGAGCTACTGTTGCGAGCGCCGACACTGACACGGGATTAAAGATAAAGAACATTGATGTACGGCCGGGTGACGACAGGCGGTGAATCATGGCCAGGCCGAGAGCGGTGGGACAATAACGGACGGGGTCAGGCGTTCAATAAACAGACATGAGCCTGGCATGTTAAGCGTCAAGCTTCAAGCGTCTAGAGCCCAAAGAGGGACCTGGAGTGGTCAATCTTCTGCCAGTGGACAAGGCCAGACGTCGTCATGCGGTCGATTCAGCAATCTAGAGTTGGTGGCGGTCATGGGCTAACGAAGTTTAGGACTGGAACTGCTCAATCGCCCCACCTGCATCAACCGACATCCAACATGGCCAGCCTGGCAGGCTGTCGTCCGAAACCCAGATGTCTGGCCAACTCGGCTCGACTTGAACATTGTCCCGTCTTTGCACCACGCGCCGACGCCATGCCGCCCTACATAAAGTACTTAAGTACCTTGTTACGTGGTAGGTATAGATATTACATATATGCCGCCGTGCATAATGGTAGCCAAGACGGCGCAGCAAGCGATGTAGTAGACGCTGCCCATTGCAACGGCAAGAACCACTTTGGGCGCCGTCAGTGGTTTGCGCCTTCTCCTTCCGTGGCCACCCGTGGCTGGATGGCGGCGACTACTGCGGCAACATTGAGCAGGGAACCCCAAACGCCGATTGATATGGACTGCCTGGCTCCATTCAATGTTCAATATTCAATGTTGGTATGTAGTTGACTCTCTTTAGCGTCCCGATCAATTGATGTTTGGTTAGGTGAGTGATACAATACAGTGCGCAAGGGCGACGACAGTGGGGTGCCGACCGCCCAGGGTAGCCTGTGACTCGGCACAGTGGTCTCCTGCGTTGGGGCCCAAACACTAACATTGAAACTAGACGTCAACTGGTTGATTTGGACATTTAACCCTGCAATTGTGCTCAAGTGACTGAGTGCTCCTTCCTACTGCATGCGTTCATGTGCATATGCGCCCGCCTGTTTCTGTCCAAGGAATCTTTTTCTTCTAAGTGACTAGCTAGGCATGCTTGCCTTGAAGACCAGACGGGTTTACTTTGCCATGTCTGCACCAGTGACATGCCTGTATTATTCATTGTTCCCTTACATGTATTGCACTCGTGTACGTGTAAGTGCCTGCGCACATGTTCATGCTACTTATGCAGTCGACATTAGCCGTGCTGGTCCAATGCGGATCCTGCATTCACCTTCCGGGTCCCCACTTCGGTCGCTGCCACCGACTCTTGCCAGGCTCCTGAACAAACTTCACACTCGATAACCACCCATGAGAAAGTCACCATCGTAAGAGCGACACATCCGCGCAATCCGTGCAACGTGTTTTGTACGCCAAAATGGCTCCCAAGAGACCTCTTGAATCGGGAGATCCCTCATTAGAGGGCAAGAAACCCAAACGCGGCTTCAGAGTAGGACCAGATAATTTGCCTGATGGACCATGGCGAAGAAAAGGTCTGAAATATACCACCCTCCTCAAATAAGAAATCTCAGCCTCACCTTGATCCCAAAGACTCACACACTAAACCCGACTTATAGTAACAAAAATAAAGAAGGATCTCATTCAAAAAGCCAAAGTCAAGAAAGAATACGCCAAGATCAAGGCCCGCGAGCAGCAAAAGGATGACAACGATGATGGCGTAAATTCACAAGATGAGGCCCCCAAGTCGCAGGAAGAAGAACCAGAGAAAATGCATCCGACGCGAGAGCTCATGCTCAAGGATGAGGACAAGGCACAAGCAGGCGCCGGCACCGGCGCGTCTGCAGATCCCACCAGTGATGGCATGAGACGACGCACCCGACGGCCAGGGTACTACGACAAGCAGCTCAAAAAGGCAGAGGAGCGCAAAACGGAATCCGAGCAGAGGACTCTGGAGATTCAGCAGAGGAGAGAGGAGAGGGAAAGAAGGCTCGCAGAGAGGGAGCGGTTTAAGAAGGCCATGGCAAAGACCATCGGGAGGGATGGGAAGAAGAAGTTGGGTAGGGAGAGTACGATATTACTCGATAAAGTGAAGAGGATTATGGAGAAGTGAATCAAGATGTTGAGAATGGCCGGAAATTGCATTCGTGGACTTGGCAACGAGCTTGATTCTGACTTGGTCAATGTTGCGATGATATCCATTGTTACTTTTTTTGCTTGTAGAATACAGGCAAAATACATTTATCGCGAATATTTGAGGGATTCCCTCAAGCTTGCAAAAAGTGTGGTTGTGATTTCCACTGATGTGTTGACCAGAGTATTAGTCGATCTAGCGGGTATTTAATATATCGCTTCTACAAACTTGATATCAACTACCTCGATGACCCGTCCTCACACATTTACCTGACGATATCATGGAGAGATCGGGTTGTGGACGTAAAGATGACCAATAATACTTTTCTACGTGTATATCACATCCTTTCTGATGATTTGCTACCATCAAGCATCTGCTATTCTTTTCACACGCTGTTCTAAGCTCGAGAAATCACCTTTAGTTGTCCACTCTACTACCCTCGTTCTCCTTTTGTCAGGGTTATATAGTTTCGGCCTCTTGCTCAAGGCGCGGCAACTATATAACCAATTCGCGCGTGCCAAAGTACGTATATACCTAGGTAGGTATATATGAAGTGGTACGTCCAACGAAACCCCAAAAGATATTAGCAAACACCCAACAATCGATAGGTAGACTTTTGCCGTAAAAAACGGTGATTCCGTCGGCCATGCCCAAGATACATACATACATACATACATACAATTTAAGGTTCGAAATGAATCACATTAATTTGATCAGTCCAATAGTCAAACGCGTCGTTTGTTTTGAAAACAGGGATCCGAGCAGAGCATGTGCCATCGAGGCTCTGCCGGTGTGGCTGATGAATGCTGAAACAGCGAATATTGGCCTGCCGCAAACTACGCACGCACACTTTAGTCAACGGATGATGGTCTCCGGGAAGACGGAGGGTTGCAACCGAAGCCATCGCCGTTGGCAATTCGAGGCTGCGTCCGAACGGGCTTGTTCCTAATATAGAAGTGCTTATATTGGCGCAGGAGCGCGAGGTGGTCGGTCGCGATGCTTGGGATGCCCGCCGGGGATGCCATACGACATGATACGAGGCATGTGCAAGTACATACAATGACGATATGATCATCGACCAGCACGTTACAAATTCCCTTGTACCTTGTCGGAGAGTTCGTCTCAATCCATGGGCTAGTCGCAGCGCCGGGAACTGCGTATCTCGAGTGCAGATCATCTCACATCACTGTCTGTGTGTACATGGGCAGATGGAGCCGACGGGAACGCACCACCGCACATTGGATGCATGTCTGTGCAAATAAATACGTAGTAGTATACATATGTATGCACTGGAAGCCAAGATTGGCATGGCGTCTGATGTTCCTCGGCTGGCCGATATGTGATCAAGGGACTTGGTTTCATACTGGTGTTCTCTTGGACCTCGGGTCAAGGTAGCTTACATTTCCGTGTGGGGGTCGGGCTGGCCTGGTGTTTCTGACTAGCATTGTCGTTGAGAGCAATACTAAATCCTACTCGCCGCATTGTATGTCTGGTGTAGCAATAGTCAAGTTCCTTGGGCTTGGATCCGAGGTCGAAGGACGGACATGTGACTCAAAACCGCGTTCAGTGTGAGGTAGGTGATGCCACGCATGGCGGTCATGGAACACAAGTGTGTCGGATAAATCTTGTATGATTGCTTTGCATAACTGCCGTGCGGAGGTAAAATAATGGATACCGCCGGAGGTTTTGTCCAACTACCACCAGACAGCGCATGCTCTGGTTGGCGAACCACAACTCGCGCAGGTCTGGTTCGTTGACCGATTTCCGAGGTCAAATCTGGTTACTGTCCGTGATGCTTCATTGTACATGCGTATGTATCTGCAATCGACCGCACTAGTACCAACCCGTTCAATCGAACCGCCGAGGGACACTGCGAGTTGTTGCGGAACACACCGAGCTGCCGTTTGCTCAGGTATCAACGTCGGTCAAGGCATGTCGCTATCCTGCGACACGACAACCCATTTCATTTGCCCGACGAGGTCGACATTGCCCGTCACCCACACGGCAGAAGATCCAAAGAAAACCCGAATTAATAAACATCGTCGCAGCACTACCATGGAAAGCTTGTTCATGCTGTGGCCATCCTGGACAAGATCGGCAGCCTCGTTGGTGGTGCCGTCGTAGGAAAGGCTGGCGACGGCGGGTGTCAACGGGCGTGGGTCGAATGAGCCGACAAGACGAAACAGCCTGCCAGCAATGACAAAATGCTTGGTGCTGCTCGTGACGGCACCGACGAGTCGATGACCCATGTTTCCGTGGTTGATGTGCACTTGACGATACGAGGGCAAGACGTCGCTCCCTGTTTCGCCTTTGCGGGCCCACCAAGATGAAACGCAACCCCAAGTGGAGCAGCCGATGCGGCCATGCCAAAAACCATGTCGCATGTCTTTGTTTGCCATGGGAAATGTGGGCGTTGGGATGGATATCCAGATGTCCACATGTCCACATGTCAACCCCCCCCGGCCGATGGCTGCTTTTACCCCTGGCTAAATATCTCCATGTCCATCCTGCGGCTGCTAGAGCCTAGCGGCACCGCACCGCACCCATGGCGTGGCATGGG